CCGTCGAATGCTGCGAGGAGGTGCTTGGTATTGCGGGCGAGGTGGAAGTGAAAAGTTCATCAAGTGAGTGATGGACGTCTGTCCCTTCCGGCTGGTGGTGGATTCCATGGCGGCCTAGATAACGGCTCCAGGGTCAGCAGGTAGCTCTTGAGGAAGATAGACCTGTGAACGCACCGATTCGTTGTACTCGTCATCATCCAATAACCGAGGTTTTCGTTGACGGTTATGTTGACTCTTCCTAGCTTGATTATTCCTTGGGGTGGCTGAAGTTTTCGATGATACCCCTGGCCGAGAACTTCCAGAGCCTCCTACGCGCCTTTGAGAGCTGTTGTCCGCTGGAGCTGCTGAGTGGAACGGAGTAGACGAGGGTGTATTCGGAATGTTTACCGCTTTAGAAGGGGGCGGGTTCAGTCCTGCATTGGATGACATCTCTCTGCGGTATTTGCGCCGCAACTGTGAGACCCCAGTAACCCAACAAGTCAGAGAGACGAAACGAGCCAGTCGATCGAATGGAAGATGAGGGGTTCTATCTATGAGGGACCGGATAAAACCAACAACTGATAAGACCTCAATCAGCTAGCGGTCAGTAGATCGAGTGATCCACCAGGTGCCTCAGATTGGGCCAGAAGAGGTGAAGAAGAGTGAACGGCCCTTAAGGCCATATAAGAATAGTAATGAGGATCGAGGGACGGCCCTCAGGGTGCCAGTTGATGTCGTGAAGGTGCAATTTCGCCCCTCTCCGGTTACAAATCGTAATGTCACGTGAACCAACCAGTCCCGACACCCAATTCGGTCTCGGTCCCCTTCAGCTTCATTTCGTTTGACGGTGAATCGAGGCCTCCTAACGCTCGTCTCTATTTGTTTTTCTTCTTTCATTCTGCTCACTCGCTTCTCACACCCACTTGTCGACTCTCTCCGCCTAGGGAGTTACTTGTACAGCGATTTACTTCTTTCTCTTGTTTCCTCACTCCGATCTCGTTTGCCAGTCTCCTTCCACCAATCCCAGCAACCCCAACAGCTCTTTCGACCCAGTTCATCCTCCACTACCACTCTCCAACATATCCAACACCTCTTGCCCGAGGCCACGATGGCTGCCTAAATGCGCCTGCAGCTCCAGATTTTTTCTTCCTCTTGACTGCTATCGCGCATGGCACTCATTTGAGGCAACGCGTGACCGAACGTCAAGACAACTTCTTTCTCTAACCAGCTCAAGATGAACCACCATCTCCCTGCCATGCCCCATGGGCAGCTGCCCATGCCTCCTACGAGGCGCCAGCAAGACTTCTCTTACAACGCTGCGCCGCCCCACATGCGATCACCTCAGTACATGGGATATCCTCCTCACATGAATGGCCACATGCCTCACCAACCATACTCATCGCAGCAATACCCTTACTGGTATCCACCATACGGACATATCCAAGGCCCTCCGCGTCCATACCAGGCGCCCTATGGACCGATGATTGTATCCTCTTATCCTCATTCGCAGCCTGTCATGGCGCCCACGCATATTCCTCATTCGATGCCCATGCATCAAAGAACTCCGACTCCACTGCAACCGATAACGTCTCCGTCTGTTTTGCATCCATCGATTCAGCCAATTCAGCCCGAAATTCAGGGATACCCTACTGTTCTACCGCACTCGGCCCAGGGATATCCCATTGCTTCACCGCCACCGCGATGGGAGCCACAGTCAGACTTGCCGCCGAAGCCCACTTTTGCTCCACCAGTAAGTGCTTACTCTCCATTTCAAATTAGACTTGAACATTTTCTAAGTCTTAATCTAGATCCCTTGGCTCTCTGTCCCTGAGCAGCCGTTCCCCGCTAGAATCCCGCGCAGACGTCGCAAGGGCCGTGTCATGCAATCATCAGTTGAGCTTCCCAGCAAAGACACCCATATGGTCATCGAACGAGGTGAAAACGAAGAGCCTCAGCCATCTTGTTCATCCACCCGAGAATCTTCGGAACCTCAAACCCCAACAACCACCACCTTCCAACAGTCGGATGCAGACTCCACACAGCCCACCACTCCTTCGTCAATTGCGAGATCACAGGCACAGTCGAAGGGCTCAAAGCCTGCTCCTATTATTCCAGTGGTCCCCAATGTACCATCTACCCCACGTCGCCAAGCCAAAGATGGCAGCGTCATATCCGGTACTCCTAAATCGACTGAACCTGATACTCCTGCCCCAAGGGTAGAACCGGATAAAGCCCCTTCCACTGAAACCAAGACAAGCTCGCCTGTTCTAGCTGCACCCAAGTCTTGGGCTGATTTGGTCCGTTCGAAGGAGTCGGCAAGAGCAGCAAGCGCCGCCGCCGCGACCACTTTGGCTGAGCCACACGGGTTGCCTGCTCAGAAAAACAAATCCCTCGCAGATGTCCTGAGCAAATTGGGAGAAGATGTCACACAATACAGCGACAAGATCGCGTTTCTTGAACCTCGAGGACTGGTCAATACTGGAAACATGTGCTACATGAACTCTGTGTTGCAAATTCTTGTTTCTTGTACCCCGTTCTACCAGTTCCTTGATCATCTTGGCCGACGTGCCCCGCACACCTTCCACAGTGATCTTCCTTTGATCGATGCGATGATCATGTTTATGAAAGAATTCCGTGTTATTGATGCGGCCACTTCCGAAGAGCAACTTCGTCTCAGATTGAAGCCCAATGAGCTTGAGCAATATGGTGACTCTTTCGTTCCTGAGTTTGTCTATGACATGGTTCGACAGCTGCCACGATTCAGGGATATGCGGCGCGGACATCAGCAGGATGCTCAAGAGTTCTTAGGCTTCCTTCTCGAGGAGATGCACGAGGAGTGCGCTCGTGCCGAAACGCACACAGCAGCAAAAGAAGGCGGTGATTCTTCTGTCGATGGCTGGTTGGAAGTTGGCCACAAGCAAAAAGCAGCGGTCACCCAACTGTCTGGCTCTCTTGCCACCGAGTCGCCAGTCACCAGAATCTTTGGGGGAAAGCTTCGATCAGAATTCAAGGTGCCTGGCAACAAGACTTCTGTCACATTGGAACCCTACCAACCTTTGCAACTCGACATCGGGTCGCATGACGTTCACAACATCCTTGATGCGCTCAAGGGAATGACTAAGCCGGAAAGCATCCAGGGTGATTTCAACTCGTCGCGTGGACCCAACATCACCGCGACTAAACAAATCTTTATTGAGACTTTGCCACCTGTGCTAATTCTTCATCTCAAGCGCTTCCAGTACGACAGTGTTACAGGTGCCACTCAGAAGATTTGGAAGAAGGTTGGATATCCACTAGATCTGGAGCTTCCGCGGGAGGTTTTCCCAGCTCATCGGCGTAACGCCATGGCATCCCAGGGAGGGCCTCCGAAGTATCGTCTTATGGGTGTCATTTACCACCACGGGAAGAACGCTAGCGGTGGCCACTACACAGTCGATGTTCGGCGGCAGGAAGGTTTGGAATGGATCCGCATGGACGACACTGTTATCCGTCGCGTTCGCAGCGAGGAGGTGGCGGAAGCTGGTGGCGAGGAAGACCCCAAGGTTCTCGCTGCCGCTCTTGAGCAGCACAAGCACGGCAAGCTCCCGAACGGCAATATTTTCGACCATATCGACCAAGATGACATGGATTTGACTGATAGCGACAAGGGCTGGAGCCAGGTCAATGGCAACGGTGCCAACGGACATGCAAGCAAGAAATCCGTGAACGGAGTCACCCCACCTCCCGCGGCTGCCTCTGGGGCCCGAACTCCCCTGGGTCGCTATGGCTCTCGTGACAACAAAGTTGCCTATCTATTGTTCTACCAGCGAATGGATTGAGGTTTCTCGCCCAAAAGCTTCGCCATTAGGTTGGGCGTCGGTTCTTCAACAACGCATCAAAATAGCATCATACCCACTACATCCTGCGACACATCGAGTTCTGTGTCTTCCACAAGGTCATGCAGTTTGGTCCTCGCTTCAGAGGATTATCTGCCGCCTGTATCGACAGGCCATACATAACATCCATCATCTCGGCGAGCTCGTTCCATTTTTGTGTTTACAGCTCGCCTTTGCACATGAAACACCGTTCACAATGAAACCATCCGGAGAGAAGAACCAAATCTAGGGCCTTGATGTCTACCTCTCTTACTAAAGGCTCTTTCATCATATCTCACTTTTGCTCCACAAAGCATTACTCAGACTCCGTTTTGACCCTTTTTTTTGCTCTTTTCAGTGTGATGAACCCGAATCATTTGCTACCACAACCCATTGTCTTTTGAGCCAATTGTTTCTTTTCCCGTCTACCTCTGGGCTGTATCTTATGGGATATTGACCTCGGTTTATACCCCTCTCCGTTTTCTCATGGGTACATTCTTCAAAGCCGTCTTGGCCTTGTCGCACACGACCCGGCCAAAAAGAATGAGTCTCCATGAACTGTTCCTACCAAATTCTTTATGTACTTTGCCATGTCATTCGACAGCTGGCATGGATACAGGAGATCCTGTGACGAAGTCACGAATTTTCCTTGTCTTGATATTGATTGCTTTGTCTGCATAGAAGGCGGGTGTCGAAGAGGGCTGGAGTTGTTCTGCCCGGGGCGTCGGGGGCGTTTCTTGCTGTTGGGAAGAGGAGGGAGGTTAATGGTGCCAAAGTGAGGAGCTTTGGAGAAGTGTGGAGGTGTCGGAATCGCGCGAGAACGCAGAATACCAGGTGTGGTATGTCAAAAAGCCTGTTTTTACCAAGAAAAAAAATTTCAAAGGAAGTTTCAAGTTATCTCGTCATCTCATGAGGGTAGTCCAGTATAGTACTACGTATATGCACCTCCCTAGACAGGATAATTTCTGGCCTTTCATATCCGGGCAGCCCGGAGGATCACTGAGTAGATGTCAGTAGAGTCGTAGTGATCACACGTGGACGCTCATCTAGCACAAGGCTATATCTTTGACTTTAAATGTTGATAGAGGGCTGTATTTGCATGTAACTTTGGTACACGTGACACCCCTGGAATACAACGCTTGGTAGAACTACATACACACCTATGTCATGGATTGGGACAGTCTCTTCTTTAACACAGCAACCTTGATCCTTGGGGTCTTCGTCCTTGACTATGGTGCAGACAAATTCATTGATCACACTGTGATTGTAGGACAGCGACTGGGCATCTCTCCAACTCTTATTGCCCTTTTGACTGCTGGAGCTGAATATGAAGAGGTACATTGGTTCGAGCTCCAAATATAAGTGTTGAATGCTGACAAGCTCTGCTTAGCTCGTTGTTGTTGTCGCTGCAATCCTACAAGGTCGCACCCCTTAAGCCCTGGGCAATGTTATGGGATCTGCAGTTTCCAACATCCTCGGTGCCTTTTCGCTGGGGCTTTTATGTTATCCAGACGGGAGTCCTTTTGATAGTAGTGCGAAGATATACTCTGCGCTCCAATTCTTTGTCACCACCATTTTCATCATCTTCGCATATTTTCAACAGCTGAATAAAGCTACCGGTGGGCTTCTCATCGCTCTCTTCGCACTTTATATCATCTCTATTGGCTTTGCCATCTACAGAGGTATCAGTGAAACGCCGCTGCCGTCGGACAGTGAAAGTGACGACGAATCAATCAATGTCTGTGATGAACAAACACCGGGGCAGAGTACCGGGCAGTCAGCCTCGGAGGCTTCTCCTCTATTAGGAGAGACGGACACGCCCCAGGAATTGAGTGCATCCGTTTAAGGACAAAAGGCCTCCCCGGCCGCTTTATTATCATGCCCTCCAGCTTATTTTTGGGCTGCTAGCACTCTCCTTGTCAGGATATGTCCTTGCCCACAGCGCAGGCACTATCGCCGACTCTCTCAATCTGTCAGGCACTGTATTTGGCTTAACTGTGATCGCGTTTGTCACAACCTTGCCAGAGAAGTCCATTGCTATGCTCAGTGGCTTTCGTGGACAGGGAGGCATAATTGTTGCAACCACAGCAGGGAGTAATATCTTCCTACTAACGCTATGTGTTGGTATTGTCGTGGTGGCAGGAAACACCCTCGATCAGTCAGATACATTTGTTCTGTTTGATCTGGTGACAGTTTGGGTGTCCTCGCTGTCCCTCCTCGCGGTTGTCTTTCTGGGACCCCAACGAATGGCTGGCCTAGTACTTCTCGCTGCCTACGTGATTTTTCTAGTCATGGAGTTCACCCTCTACAGGCGTTGAAGGGTATTCTCTTCGACGCAACTATCGAGCCCAATCTAGCACGAACAACCAAGTGTACATATACACATGTATTTTATCATCCCGGACGTAGTTTTATTTATGTATATAGAATCCAGGTTGTACCCGGTATGGCACGCAGTGAATAGAATCACCACTACAGTAATGAATATATGCAATCAAGCATGGAAGACAGGCATTACTGCCTCGCTCCTCATTTCCACATTCCCATCCTCCACAAACTCAAACCCAAGAGCCCTCCAGTTCAACTCCTTCCTCCAATGAAGCCCATAGTACCCCCTTTCGTCCTGTCCGTCAAACGCGGAAGCATCAGCCTCTGCAGCCGGTTCAAGTTCATCGGGAACAGGACCAACAACTGGCTCAGAGGACAGGCCACCACTCTCTAACCTCCCACGTCTGGGGAAGATAACAGACCGGAATCGTGAAAGAAGCATGCCCATAGAGCAACACAGGCACGGCTCATGGGAAAGGTAGACGTCCAAGTCTGTGCAGAGGTAGCCACCCTGCGAGCGGGTGCGAATGCGCGGGGCTGCGAGCGTTGTCGCCGGGGTAGAAGAATCCGCAAGTAGCACGGTAGATGGGGGAGGAGCGGGAAGAGGTGGGTGGAGCTGAGATTTAGAAGAGTCCGTAGAGGGGTCGATCGTCAAGTCGGATTCAGGGTTAGAGTCGTTGTGCTTCCTCTTCAACGGGGAGGACGGAGACTGAGGTGGGTTTGAGACGTTGGCAGATGTACCAGGACGGGGACGGTATAAGAAGTATGATTCGAAGGCACTCAGCTCTGGCTGTTCTAGTTCTGACTTCAACGGATCTGTAGTAGTCGTTGATGCAGGGACGCCGTCAAGACGATCGTGTTCTCGGCGCCAGCGAGCAACAAGCTCGACAGCACGCATCAGAGCATGCAGTTCAGGCCCGCCCTCGATATCCGCATTGTATGTCTTGCTCGCTGGGTTCGGCGATACCCCGGCGTGCAGCTGGGCCTGGGATGGCGCGCCCGCCTCAGAGCGGGAGTACCGCGCATCACCGGCAACTGCGAGGACTGCTTCGTCCCATTCTGCCGTAGTGTCATATCCGGCTCCATAATCTGCCTCGGTTATTTTTTCTTCGATGGCAGGGTCAACTATCACTGCGCCTACGCCGCGGCCTAGCCCGGATTGTTCTGCTTCCTCTGCTACTTTGCGCGCTAGGGATAAATAGTACCCTGCCCGTGGTTCAATGGATTCTTGTGCGCGTTTTAGGGTTTGAGGGGGCGGCGCGACAGTTGAGCGGGGTGCGGCTGGGTTGAATACGACTGGCCAGAGGGTCTTGGTCCATGTTTCAGCTTGAGTTGTGTTGAAGGGAGGGCAAACGGGGATTTTGATGGGGTGAAGTTGAATATTAGGAGTTAGAGGATCGGAGTGTGAAGCTTCTTCTGGCACTTCATTCGTAATTGGGGCCGGCGCTGTGTTCGGCGCAAACGGAGCGAGCAGGGCCTTGAGTGTGGTGATATCAGGCAATGGAGGCGATATGAGGACGAAGATGGTTTGTGTCTGGGCCGCTAGAGGAACGCTCTGGCTTTCGATGGCTGCCTTCAGCGGCGGCGGGAGCATTTCTCTTTTGGCGAAGCGACGGAGGTGGGATAGAGGGAGGGAAGGGTCTTTAGGGAAAGCCGTGTCGATAGCCCTGATTAAGGATTAATAACTTTGCTTTTCAGACCTGCAGAGCATGCGAGTCTGTAGCTTACTTGATCACCTTGGATGCAGACTTCACATTGACTTCTGCGACAAAGGCATCGCCTATTTATTGGTTAATCATGATGTCGCAACAAGAGAGCTATATTGTAGGTCATACCGAATTCTTCCTGGGGCCTTGTTTCTTGAACTGTTCGAATGGGGACCACTTGCCCGTCAAGGGGTTTGAGGGCTCTGATAGTCCTTTCGACGTCCATTCTAACTGTCTCAAATGGCACCCAGCCAGGCGCGGGGTGAAATAGAATGTGTCAAGACAGGTTGGCGATGTACAACCAATATCATAGCCTTAAAGTGGTTATAAAGACAATTATTTGGGATTGCGAGTTTGATCTCGATTGTAAACGTCCACCTCAATAACTCAGCGAAAGAGGAAGTATTCAAACGAGAACTTGAAGAAAAGAAGAAAGCTATACAAAGAAAGTTAGGAAGCAAACAATGCAAACCTCTAAGGTTTGTCCCATGGGTTTGCCGCTAGGCCACTTCAGGTCTTTTTAGTCTGTAGATTTTGGATTCTTCGGGGAGTCTACTCTCTAAGCAGTCATCATTGATCAAACATATTAGATGGGAAGCTAGACCGCGGAATGGGTATGCAAATATCTATGTAGAGCAAACCGTAGTTGCTCCATCTGTACCTCATGCCGCTCAGCCTTACAGTGTATATAATGCAACAACCAATTAACATGTAGAACCGACACAGAATGCGGAAGTCTTACAATTTCCGGTGCTTAGATTATGAGTGGATATTTCAGATTTGTATAGTTCTAACAAAAACAGCTAAGACAAGGTGATTTGATCATAGATATCACCGCATCATCCCGTGAGACATCAAACGCCGAATGCCCAGTGAAAAAAAAACGCTGAAAAGTAGGAACAAGGTATCGCCCATTGACCCTTTGGTATATGCTAAGACAGATCCCATGTTCTAAAGCGCCATGTCTGATGCCGGCGCTCCTCGATATTAGATCAAAAGTAATGGTGCATCGAGATCTGACACCATAAAACCCCTAATGCAAGTGGTATGTATTAAATCACACCGCCAGTGTCTCGGCGGGTGACAGGCAGAAGAATCCACTCATCCATGGCTGACTCGAGACCGGCCCGAGTGGTCCAGGGCAGAACGTAATTTGTGCAGATTTCGCATCGGCGGCGTCATTGGGCATGGGTCCATTTTTACGTTGGAACAGGGCTGGCTGCTGCAGCAATACCCGTTACCCCAGCTTTAGCACTGCCATTCTGGCAGATGCCTTCGATTTCAAACCCATCGCATCGATCAACGAGGCTTTGATAATAGTCCACCAGCACTTCCGGTTGTGGAACAATGCGCCATTCAACTCGGAACAAGAAATCTAGTTCGAGCATGGCTAATTCCGTCATGCCGATTCCACCGACTCGAGCATACGTTTTGTTTGTCCAGAAACTGTCGCTGAGTCCCTTGCTAGCGACTGTGGCGCTGGTGATCAGGAACCGATGAATTGTCAGACTGGAAACGGTGAAGGCGGGGTACAGTGCGCAGAGTCGGTCAATGTAGTAGACCATGCTGAGGAGGATAGGGGGTGAGAGAGTAGCATGGGTCGTCAATCGTTGTAGGTAATCTTGCACGGAGATTCGAGGCGGTGAGCGTGAGTGGAAGCGAGTCAGACGACCCTGGTGTAGTGGGATCTTGTCGTTGAATCGGATCAGCTCCATGAGCATACTGGAGATCAGCACGACCATGTCACGGGGGTCGGCCAGTTCATATTGTGTGGGCAACATCTTGACGTCTGGTTTGGAAGGTCGCAGGCGCTTGGACTGCGATCTCTCCAAATTTTCGCCATCATATTCCGTCGGCGTCGCATCGGATTGATAGCTGTTGCGCTTGTTGGAACCCGAGGTAGGGGCGGGCATTGAGGGGGCGGGGGAGGAAGTCCGGGGTGGATTTGTAGAGGTGGCAGTCGCCGGTGTGGTTGTAGTAAGAGCGGAAGAAGTGGCTGATTGGGCGGTCGAAGCCAAGGCCGAATTATTGACCAGGGTCTTCAAAGTGTCGGACGTGGATGCACGCCTGCATTGAAGATCCCCTGAAGTTTCAGGAGAGGAGGGATCGACAGTATGTCGATTCAAGGCTGAGCGAAGTTCGTCAATGGCCAGACGCGAGGATCGAGGACTATTGAATTGTGGAGCGCCAGTCGGCTCATAGTGGGAATGGGAATGCGACCCCGAAGTTGAAGGAAGCGGGGAGCGTAACGCAGCCGTTGAAGGCGAGGGCGAAGACGCCAACATTGTTGGGGGGTGACTAGGTTATTAAGGAATGCTGGGGATCTGAGCATTCACAGTGCAAGGTGAGACCACGTGGGCGCACAGTCAGGGCGCGCTGTGGATGGTGTGGGTGCACAGCCGGCCTCATCCTCAGAGGCTTAAAAGGCTCACAGGGAAAGTGAGAGGGACACAGAGGTTATAAGAGGCAAATATTGAAAGAGGAAAGAGGGGGTGTGGTCTGGGAATAATACTCCGAATGACCTTGGACAAGAGAACAGGAAGGGGGCGAAAGCCGGATTGAAAATCTTGTTCTTTCAAAGTTCGTCAGTGAGGTAATTAGATCCATGCTGTCAGTGGCTAGTTGCTTCCGGTGACTGTATTGTTACAGTATTGGTATTTTTCCTCTTTCTACGCTTTATTATTACTAGATATTACATCTAGGCATCTATGTACATATATAGGTAGGGATAGGTGGTTGATACTAAGTAAAGGAGAGTGATATTTTAATTCTGCTTAAATGACCCTAGATGCTACATAGCGCTCTCTATAGTTTACACATAAGTAAATGAATCTGTGCTTCTACGAAGTACAACATTGTATCGAGCCACAGGAAGCGGGGGTGAACTACATGTGCCCTAACTAGATTAGGTTAAAGTGCCAAGAAAAGTTCAAGTATAGAATTGGTCGTATATATGCCGTATGCCCGAGTTGGAGTTCTATATGCATTAGTTATATGACAAACAGCTAATAACCTGGATTCACATGGCTTCCCTGTATTTGTGTCTCCAGACCCTGATCAGCAGTATACCGGACTTGCTGCAGTGCACATAAAAAAGATGAGAACTGACACCAAATGATCAAGGCCTTACAATATAGGCTACTTAATATAGAGGTGCATCCACTTCTGATACCCTTAGGGACTTGACTATGCCCCTCTTTTATGCAGAGGCAAAAAGTCTTCGAACCATTGTGTGGCGTTACCAGATGCTGTCCCCGTGACACTCGAGAATGCTCAGGTGGCTTTTCTATGACAGATTCTATTATATAAGCAGTTGGAGTACCCGTGGAACCGTGGACGTACCGTGGACGGGGGGTCCATGGATGTTCGTCCATGCAATATTTTCTCTAGCCACGTGACTAGTAGGGCTGAGTATCGCTCTTTCATTAATCCGGGACTACTTTTCGGGAAACGGTGTGTTTCGGCAGAACCAAAGTGCGGAGTACCTCTAGGCCCGGCTCTACAGTTCCGGTCTGCCATCATATCTATGTTGTACATCCAGGTCTACACAATCTTCAATTTACGGAGATAATTTCCTCAATATCATTCTAATATCCCTGCCAATTCCTTGATCCAACAAAGTGAAACGCCGAGAAGCTCCCCGCTGGGAGGGGGTGATCGCCAGATGATGACGCGAGCTGCCGCACCGCCGATTCTGCTGCAGCTACAGAGCGCCGAATCGGCCTCCTCTCAGATTACAGCCTTGCGCACTCTGAAGAACGAACTGATTGGCCATGACCAACGCAAGGAAACCTACATCGTCGAGGGAATCATACCGACTTTGGCACAGGTGCTGACCTCGAGATGGCCGGGAACGGCCGAGTTTAATGAATCGATATTGCACCACGGCCGGTCCATGCCAAAAGCCCCAGAAGATTACGAAGCATGTCTTCAGGCAGCTTTAATTGTTGGGAGTTTGGCACAAGGTACGTGAAGACTAGATCCTTGTCGCCAAGACAGACATTGACTGTACTGAGCAGGGGGTCCGACGTTTCTCACCCCACTATTCGCCAGCAATATTCCCCGAACCTTACTTTCAATCTTTTCGTCACCAGACTGCCCAGATTCATTCTGTCTTCCCATTCTACGACTCTTGAACACAATTGCGGACCGGATACCGTTGCAAAGCCAGGAACAATGGCCTCGGGACACGCAGCTTGCGGATCTTGTTTTCGCTTCTGCGAATATTACCTCTCTTAGACGTATAATATCCCAGGAGTACAAGGACCTGCGCAGCCAGGCCACCATCGAGCTAGCAGCCGCCCTGATCGGCAAGCTTTGCACGGAGGAAACCCATAAGACGGCACTAGCAGAATCCGGGGTATTGGATGCTTTGGCCCTCAAGATTGCCTCCTTCGTTGTGGCCAAGGGCTTTGTCTTGCCGGGCGCAGAGGATCGCCTTCAAGAACCTGGCGCATTGGAGGACCTACCACTTCCGGCCCCTGAATCCGCCCAGCTAGCACCGATTCTGCGCGCAGTCGCTGTCATTATTGAACAGTCGAAATGGAGGGCGGAGCACTTCCTGTCGTCACCTGGCATTGTGACTGTGTTTCCAAAACAAGTCGCTGGGTTTGCTCCATCAGACATCAAGAAAGGTCCGTGGGGATCCACGTATCTGTCGGGCTCTGCAGTACCCCGTCATCTTGGATCCAACCCCATAGAACAGCTTTTGCCGTCGGTTCCTCTAGCACATACAAAATCGTCATCTAGTTCTGCGAATTTCCCACCTCTGGGGCACGGGGGCTCACAGCGCCGACACAGCCATTCTTACCACACACCCTTTTCATTAGCTGAGACACCTGTCCCAGAAGACGAGAATTCGATTGTTCCATGGCTGCTCTGCATTCTCCGCTCAGAGAATGGCATGACACGGTTGATGTCCGCCCGCCTTGTCACCGCCCTCTTCCGGTTGGGATTGGCGAAGAAACATCGCATTCCAATGTTCAGTTATTTGTTGATCCCAATCCTGATTCGTATGCTTGACAAGGAGGTCCGACTGCCGGATGAAGAAGGCGTTATTCACGATGGGCTGCTCTCATCGACCCTACGCTTAAAGGAAGAGGCGCCTGCGGTATTAGCCAACTTGGTCGTGGACGACCAGGAGCTGCAGAGACACGCAGTAGAAGGCAATGCGCTTAAGCGACTTTCACAACTTCTCAAGGAGACCTACAACCCAATCACGGAGACCTCCCGGCCGATGTGGCACGCAGAGGATGGCCCAGCCCGGGACCTTGAGTCTCTTTCACCAGAGTGCCGCCTCGGGCCTTCTGGTTATTCTCCGACCCTTTGCCATATAATGCGTTACCGAGAGAACATTCTCAAGGCTTTAGCAGCACTCGTCCCATTCAAAGACGAGTACCGCAAGGCGATCTGCGAACATGGCGTAGTTCCTTACATCATTGACGCCCTCAAGCCAAGGCCTAGTGATGCACCGGCTGATGCTGTGATGCCCAGAAATACCGCTGAGGATGGAAATCCTATCCCGACAATTCTGGCTGCTTGTGGCACAGCTCGGATGCTGACCAGATCCGTCAGCGTGTTAAGAACTAGTCTTATTGATGCCGGCGTGGCTAAGCCACTGTTTGCCCTTCTTCGCCATTCCGACCTCGAGGTGCAAATTGCAGCAACGGCTGCGATCTGTAACTTGGCCTTGGACTTCAGTCCCATGAAAGAGGTTTGTCGGTGTCTATATTTCGTTCATAAACTTCGCAGCTAACACGTAGCCTTCTCAGGCAATCATTTCCCACAACATCATTCCCATCCTTTGCGAACATGCTCATTCGTCCAACACCAAATTACAGATTGAATCGCTTTGGGCTCTCAAGCACATGGTCTACGACACCGCAAACGACATCAGAATGAACATCATCGAGACTTTGGGTCCCGAATGGATTATGGAGGTCATCTCCCAGGATCCGGTCCGCGCCGTGGCTCGACGGGGATTGGAAGAGGAAACAGATCAAAGTCCGGGGTTTGCCATGGGTCGATCGAACTCAGCTGGCGAACAAGTCGATATTTTGAACCCCATGGAGGATGCAGCGGAGTGGGACGAGGACCTCAAGATGACCGATACCATGCCTCCCTCCAAAATGAGTCTGGACATGTTCCTTCCTGATGCAAGACGTAGACGCAAACTCGTTCTGCACGGAACCCTAGCCCAAACCACACAATCTCGACAGGATGATATTGCCGTCCAGGAACAGACATTCGACTTACTGCGCAACATGATCTGTGGTCGGGATGCACCTGAGATGATTGAATATCTCTTCAGAGAGCTTGGTCAAAATGATTTCCTCGATACAATCGCAGATACACTACGACCACGTACCATCCAATTGCCTCACCGTCGGGAATCCAGCAGCCAGTCCCTCCACGTTCCCAATGAGATCATCAACGCAGCCGCCGCTCTTATCATCCACTTGGCGGCCGGGCACCCACGCCACCGGCGCATCATCACATTCCACCGTGAACTCCTGCGGTCTCTGGGCAATTATTTCAACCATTCCCACAAAGATATTCGGTCAAACTGTGTCTGGGTAGTGATCAATCTCATCTACGAAGAAGATCAGAGTGATCATGAAGGTTGTCGGGAGCGGGCAGTGAGACTTCGTTCTCTTGGTTTTGCGGAACGGCTGGCTAGCCTCGAGGATGACACGGAGCTAGACACGAGGGAGCGTACGAAGACTGCGCTGCATTTGTTGAACAAACTGTCTCCCGCATAGTTTGATAACTTTTTATATGGTTAGAGTTACTCGTGGACGTTCTGGATGGATTGGAGTATAGGGAAATGTGGATAATTCTTTTTTATTTTCTCTTACTGCGAGCTTCTCATATTGCAACTGAAAATATATCTACTCAACTTGGTGAATATGTGAAAGCTGTTAGTGATAAGAGCTATGACGTTTTTCTCCACATCAGCAATGGAGCCCTTTGCAATCCTGTCTATTCACATCTGTTTAAAACCAGTCTATTCTTCCTAACAGAAATCTGATAGCAATGTCTCCAGTACCAGAACCCATCCTTCAAGCCCTCTCACTCCCATCCGAATCAAAAGTCAGCCTCTCCACATCGGGCCTAGGCTCGGGCTTCACAAGCACAGGCATCATCCACGCCCAGATCCCCGGCAAAAATGGCACGGAAGAAGAGCGACGCTACTTTGTAAAAACCTCATCAAACGGCAAAGCTGCAGAAGAAATGTTCCAAGGCGAATCCGAGTCCCTCAACGCAATCGCAGCTTCAGTACCAGGATTCTGTCCCCAAGCCCTAGCTCGAGGACCACTCGACGAGTCAGGGACAAAGGCCAAAACGCACTTCCTTGCAACAGAGTTCCTCCAGCTCGGCGGCAAGACGGGCCGTAGCACAAGCGACGAAACCACGCTCGCGCACCGCCTCGGAAAACTGCATACCACGCCCGCACCCCCAGATCCAAACACCGGTCGGCGCAGATTCGGATTCCCAGTGCCGACCTTCTGCGGAGATACCAAACAGCCAAACCGGTTTTGTGATAGCTGGGCTGAGTTCTATGCGAATGAACGACTGCTTACGATCCTGGCGACATCTGAAGAGCGCAATGGACCCGATCCTGGACTGCGCGAAGCGGTTGAGAAGACGGCGCATAAGGTTGTGTCTCGGCTCCTTGGGGATGGTCATTTAGGGTATAATTCCAGTGGTGAGGGAGAGGGTATTGTGCCTGTTGTTGTTCATGGGGATTTATGGAGTGGGAATGCTGATTGGGGTCGGATTGTTGACTCAGGTCGGGATGAGACGCCTGGAGATGTGGTGTATGACCCATCGGCTTGCTATGGACATAGTGAGTTTGAACTTGGGATTATGCATATGTTTGGTGGGTTTGGGGCTCGATTCTTTGATCTGTATCATCGGATTGTGCCGAAGACTGAACCTGTGGCGGAGTATGTTGATCGGATGGAATTGTACGAATTGTGAGTTTTCCATCTCTTTCTTCTCTTGCTCTTGGACATACTGATTTAATCAAAAAAGGTATCATCATCTAAATCATCATGCTATTTTTGCTGGAGCGTATCGATCTGGTGCTATGTCGATTATGCAGAAATTGATCAGGAAGTATGGAAAAGACTAGAGTCTCATAGTCTTTGCAAGGCTTTCTATTTTCTTTCTTTGTTCCTTTCTTTTTTTAGCGTATGCTCTTGGATTTCAAACATATCTCGGTAGAGACACTCTTGCTATCACGAATATAATTAAGATATGATGTCACACTAATATCCACGACTTGTCCAACTTGATCTCTTCCTCCTTTCACATTCACATCTCCACTGAAAACGCCAAACTGCATTCTACAATGCCCGCTCGTTCTGACTCCGACCTGTACCCCGAGGCCAGTGGCCGGCCAAGGCACTGGTCGATCAGCATCGCGCTGAACAGCCATTAAAGTTGTATGCGGGGTGGTTCTGTCCGTATGACCACGACCCCTCTATACTTGTACAGAATGACTGCTAACAAGGTAGAAAGCTTCGGTGTGTCTCTAGGTACTCATCCATAGGCAATAATATTAACAAAACAAAGTGCAACGAGTCTGGCTCGCCCTCGAAGAGAAAAACATTCCATACGAGTACATCGAGGTCAACCCATACCACAAGCCAGACTCCCTACTCAAACTGAATCCCCGAGGCCTAGTCCCTACACTTTCGACGCCAGCAGATCCGCACCCACGGCCACTGTACGAATCCACTGTGATTCTAGAGTATCTGGAAGAAGCATACCCAGGCCATAGACCCCGCTTCCTGCCAGAGGATGCTTACGAGCGTGCCGGCGCACGAATCTGGATTGATTATGTGACATCCCGAATAATCCCATCATTCCACCGTTTCTTGCAGTATCAGCCCGCAGATGATAGTGCGCAGAGCACAGATGTGGGGTTGGAGCAGGCTCGGCAAGAGTTTTTGGATCACTTGAAAGCCTGGACTAAGGAGATGCACACCGAAAGACCCTCTTTCTTGGTGAAGATATTAGTCTGCCGGATCTGGTGCTGGCTCCGTGGGCGGTACGACTGTGGGTGTTTGACGAGTTTAAGATTGGTGGAGTGGGGATTCCGCGGGAGGGGGAAGGGGGTTCTGATGAGGGGATTTGGAGCCGGTGGTGGACCTGGTTGGCTTCTATTGAGAGCAGACGGAGTATCAAGGAGACAAATAGTGATCTTGCCCATTATCTTCCTATCTACAAGAGATATGCGGATAATACAGCTCAAAGTGAGTTAGCTAAGGCGATACGGGCTGGTCGGGGGGTTCCTTGAGGATTTTGGAGACAGTACCCTGCTATTCATGTATATCCAACATGATAGACATGTTTAATTGCGCATTCTCTCCAGGGAATAAAGAATGATGATGGACATATACGTATACTTCGGAATACGGGAGAATATGTTTCCGATGTACCCGCACGTGATTATGAGCTCACACGTGATCGAGACATCAATCCAGTCACTTGTTGCGCGCCTCAATCTTGCAACTTCCAAAGATATTCTTTGATATTGCCATATTCCTAAGGAATCCAAAAAGCTGCTATGGCGCGCAATATGAAGGACGAGTCTCCCCGCGGGAGCTCAACGCTGGAAGCCGGCCTGTCTGCCCCGGCCATCCATCCGTCTTTTATACAGGTGGCCAATCCGTACATATTCGAACAAACAATTGAAAACTGCATCGAGGCAATGAGCGTCAATCCCCTTCGGGAAACTTCATTGCGTCTTCAGGGCGTGGCGTGGATCGACAGCGTGCGGAGAGCCCTCAACCTGTAAGTCGACTCCAAGCCAGGCAAAATGCATCAGGACTGACTGGAAATCCAGTCCCATTCGCACTTTTGACACAGCAGTGGGATATTATCACCGGTTTAGATTGGTGCACCCAGACAATGAGTATAATTTCACAGTGAGTTCTCTCGGAAACCTCTCAAGGAGATCAACCTGACCCGGGATACAGGATGCTGCGGCTGCGGCTTTATTCACAGCATGCAAGATCGAAGATACGCTTAAAAAGTCGCGAGACATCGTCTGCGCAGCGTACAACTTGAAAGTGGCGCCCTCAGAGCATTTATCGGCTGATGATCCTGTAAGTCATGATGCCAGACGAGACAAGACGGAGAATTAACGCTTGTCGCTAGATGTTTGAATCCAATGCGCGTGGCATCATCGGTCTCGAACGACTCATGTTAGAGGCCTCTGGTTTTGACTTTCGAACCCGGCATGCCCATAAAACCCTCATGAAGCTGGGTCGGCATTATGGACTACTACAAAACTCCGAAGTCTCCAATCTTGCCTACCGTATTTCAACGGATCTTTACCGCACATTTGCACCCATAAAACAAAACTCATCGACGATGGCCTTCAGCTGCCTTGAGCTTGCAGGACGACTCTTGGACCAGCGCGTCGAACAAGTGGAGTCTGGGCTAGACTATGCGCAGTGGAGCACCAGCCGAGCAGAAATCATGGGTAAGTATTGTTATTGCATTCACATCCACAAAGAGGATGTCACGTACTAACAACCACCAGAAACCCTCTTCGACCTCCTAGAACTCTACACCCACCACCGCTCACTAACTGCCGTCGGCTCGGAATTCCCAGCAGACAGGTTCCTAACAGTCCGCATCCCGCTCAATCAAGAAGCCAGCGAACACAACATCCCGCGCTACAACCCGTGGATTGGCCAGCCACGCAGGCCATCCAACGGCACTGGGCCCAACGAGCAAGATACTGCACGACCTGCTCATCCCTTAACACCAATTGCCGCGAACGGGGACCGCCAGAGGGCAGGTGAGCGAGGCCGTGACGCTGCCGTGCGATTCATGCTCGATCCCGCATGTGCGGATGAGGAGAGGCGGCAGGTCGCGGCGTACTTCAAGGTCGAAATGGAAGAATATGAGGTCGATGGGTAAGAGATGGTTCCTGCTACTTGCTTTCCTGGCACCTGGCGTGCCTCACGCAGCGGACCGCAGCGCAGAGAAGGCCTCGTTTTAGTTCCGTGGCAGATAATATGATAGCGAGTTTGATGATGAGCTGGGATTGGGGCCTCATATACTACATCCCAACTTGGTTTCAACCAAACAATGCTCCGGTCATGGTGCCTGTCCGTCCTGATTCTTGTTGGGATATTCCGGCATCCTTGCTAAGCTCGGATGAGGCCTTTGTCCGCACTTTTCTGGACAAACGGGCGAAAGACCCGGTTTCTTGCTCTACGGTTTCGGGACTGAGTTGTCTCGAACACGAGAGACTGACATTCTGGAAATTCCGCATCTTGATCATATTCCCCACGATCTCTCGATACCCCAGGCATCTATGACCAGCGACGAGATATCGATAGATACAATGAAAAGATCCATTAACTATCGATAATCGGTTTCTCATTATAGGACAGCACCGTGGTTGATTGATATTTGCTCTATCTACGAATCCATATAGAGTGAATCAAAATCAAAAGCCAGCTTCAAAATTTGAATTGAAAGCTATGTACAAATCTACAGTCCATTCCCTTCGCGTGGGCAAAACCGACAGACATGTCCCCCATCATCCCCTCTTCTTCTACCACGTCTGTAGAGGGATCCGTCCGTTCCACGCATCGGGAGTATAGCGAGCTCCAGGTCAACATGGACAGAGCAACGCAAGTCATCAGGTTTAGGTTCAGCCCAGGGCCCGGCATCAGTCAGAAAGAGAAAAGAAGAAGAAAAGAAAGTACTAAACAAAAGTACTAAACAAAAGTACAGGGACACAGTCGTAAATGAAGAAAGAAAGAAAAAAGTCGTCCCCTTGCCTTTGGCGTGGAAGATTTTCGCTCTTCAGACCGGTTCACTAGAGCCCTTACCGTGTGTGGTTTTGCTGGGTGTTGATGCCGTGTTGAAGGGCGGGTAAGGCGAGCGGGGCGCATGTATGTATATATCATGCATGCACACATTAAGGCTTGCATGCATATTCAGTGTACCAAATCAAGTCCCGAACGAAGCAAGAAGCAAGAAGAGGGGATCCATCTGCACAGCAGAAGCAATCAGAGGATAGTTGCAGGGGGTGAAGAGCGTGGTTGAAAGGTCGTCCTCGAATGGTGGAAGTGAAAGTGAAATATGAGTGTCATAAATTTGGGGTGTGTTCAAACTGAATGCCGGACGATTTTAAGTTCACCGACGCTTGAGCTCGGTGACAAGGCAATCCAGAATCTGGGAGAGGTTAGTGAGATGATCATGATAATTGGTTCAAAGAAACATACTGATTCTGAGACAGCGCCCTGATTGTACAAGTACTTGCCCAAGCCACGGACGACCTCGAGCTGCTCATCAACTGTAAGACCGTTGATGGCGGTCTCGATGATATCGCCCACGCTGGCCTTGTAGACAGCAATGAAGCTGTGGTAATACATGAAAGAGAAGAAGCCCATGATGAATTGGCAGTCCATACGGTCAGTGATACCACCGTGGCCAGGAATGGACTCGCCAAAGTCCTTGATCTTGAAAGTGCGCTTCAGACCGGAAGCAAAGAATCCACCGAACGGAGCGATCAGCGAAGCGAAAGTGGCGAAGGCCAAGATGTGGAACTGAATGGGTTCCACCCAGAAGGTCTTGTCCAGGCCAAAGACTTCAAGAGAGTAAGGTTGCAACGTGAAAACCGGGTTCGGAACACATTCCAGACCGGTCAGAACATTCGAGCCCAGATCGTTGACAGGGCAGATGAAGTACTTGTAGCGGATCAGCAAGTTGGTCATGAAATAACCAAAGGCAACGGTGCAGGCCCATGCGCCAAGGAATCCCTCAACAGTCTTCTTCGGAGAGAGCTGAATAAGTTGTGTCTTTCCAAAGCTAATACCGCAGACGTACGCGAAGATATCATTGGTGATGACCAGCGCAGCGGGGAGGAAGAACCAGATCATGCCCTCGAAAATGTTGTTCATGACGAAGTGAGCTTGGACCACAATCAAGTACAAAGCCATATGGGTCCAAGCAAACTGGGTGAATTGGAATCGATAGTGGCCCTTCTGCAGAGATCCGACAAAGAACACGAATCCTGTCGACCGGGATTAGCGGAGTAAAAGGGGAAGGGTCGAAACACTTACCCATGACGTAAAGGGTGAAGCTGATGAAGCGGTGGTGGTTTGCCAACGGAAGCAGAACCTTGTCAACAAGCAAGATGTGCTTAAAGTAGTAAATCACGCTCTCTCCGTACAGGAAATACATAGTGGTCGCCAGGAAGTACCAATTCAACGATTTGGTGAACCGCAAGTTCTTCTCCTTATTGGGGATACTGGCGATAGCGATGACCTCCTTGAACGAGATGATTTGGATGCCAGTAATTAGGACAATAATATAAATGTGACCGGAGAACAAGGCGACGAAGAAACCGGCGATCATCACGAAAGTCCATATCGTCCGGGTAATGAAGGTCTGCTTCTTCTTCTCATATTCGGACTGGGGGGGTTTCTAGAAGTGAATATCATGTCAGACCTAGATTCCGAGGCCATACTCCAGTGGAAACCGACCTCTTCAGTTATTGTAGGTGGTTTGGACCCGTTGGCATTTTTGCTGGGGCTAGTGGGCTCTGAGGGTGCATCGCTGACGTCGGAGGAGACGCTGAGGCGTCGCTCATCATTTGACCGGTGTTGAAACCTAACATTACGGCGAGATTTCGACATGATGTAGAAAAAGGGGCCAGAAACAGAATTCCGGGCAATAGAAGTGGAGAGTGCAGAGAGCGAGAGAGGATCATTGGATTAGAAGTTGAATGAGCTCATGTGAAGTGCCGAAAGCGGTCAGCTTCAGCTTCAGCCCCGTATTTACCTTTTCTTTTTCTCTTTGCTTGTTTCTTTTAGTTATACCTCGGTGTATTATTCGGGTCATTAATTTAATCAATCATTACTTGGCCTTCAAATATTACTTTTGTGACTAGATATTGAAATTGGATGTGCAGGGTTGTTATCCAGGGCCTTGAACTGCCGTGCTCTGTCTCTCTCCTCTTCACCCCTCAGAGCCACTCGAACACGAGAATGATCAAAAGCCCTCCGTGAACTTAGAGCCCCTCAAATCCATCTGGTAGTCCATTCATGGCGGGGGCATGGAAGACGACGACGATTACGGCTCCGACGAGTTCGACTCCCTGCCACCGGGGACGTTGTATGAACTGGAACAGAATGCGTTCCAAGCAACTCAGGCGTCAGCCTCACAGTACCACCAAAAGCCCATAAAGAGCAACCCCGTGCTACGCACTCAAGCAGTGCCATTAAGCAACAATACTGGATCGCTGAGACCGCCGCCTCGCCTACACACCGGATTGACGAACGATTACAATACACTGGAGGTGGGGGAATTGGAAGCCGAGGTGTACGATAATGTCGATAAACCACATGTCACTCCGCATGGTCAACATGTACTCGCGACGAATGCTAGCTTTGCGGTCAACGAGCAGCTGGGCGATGCCATGGATGTGGACGAGTACTATGGGCAAGGGAACGCCGCCGCTGAGATCAATGCACGCCTAGTTCAGGTGGGTCAGATAAAGGCTTCTTTGTATAAACTCTAACGACCTTTATAGATGGAGCAAGAAAGAGAACAAATGTTACAGGAGCTAGCCGAAGCGAGGATGCAAGTCGAAACGAAATCCGGGGAAATTTCGATCATTCGAAGGAAGCAAGCGACCATGACCCAAGACTATGACCGGCAAATAGCTTCTCTACGAAAATCCATGGCCGACGAAATGGCGAAACATAAGCAAGAGATTGAGGCGGTCATGTCCGAAGGCAAGGTATTGGCGACGGAGAATGTATTTCTTCAACACGATCTCGTGGATGAAGCCTACCAGCTTCGAAACTACAAGTCCAAGCATCGCGAGGTGGAAGCCCCAGTGACTCCTCGGAAGTCCCGGGTGCTTCCCTTCCGTGACGGATTTGACGATGATGAAATTGCCATGGTGTCGCCCAGCAAGTCTGCAGCACGCTCTAAGCGAGCCACGCCAACAGTTCCAGGAAAACGTAAACGGCAATCAAGCCAAGATGGCCCTACGCCACTGCAGCTGAACCCTGCTGGTGTGGAGCTTATTATGGCTGATGCGATTGATACTCCGGCCGAAGTTGACGAGGTAAAGCGCAAGTCTACAGACACGGGTCGCAATCATCAGCGATTTATGATGCGACTTTTGAGCCACCGTACGCATCCCAACGAAGAAACCGATTTCGAAGCCATGGCCAAGCTTGCATTTCCCTCGGAACCGCATCGACCCATGTCCAGCATCCTTATGGAGGTCATGGCTAGTGTCGACCCGAGCAGGTACGTATTAGAATACACGCAAACGATTGCCTCGCTATGGCAGCGCGCCATCAACGAGAAGTTCTATGAGCCGATCCCCCGATTCGAAGCTATCACAAAATATAGTTTGATGTCGGATGACGTCCTACTCTCCGAACTGATCACACCTTTAGTTGGAGTCTTGCAAGACACTGTGGAAGTGAATGCAGTTCCTCGCTTCAAGTACGCCCCAGCATCACGAGATAAACGAATTACTCGACAGACACCACAATCAGATCTGCAGCCCCTGGTCGACTCAACTAAGGCCATGCGTCTACTTTACCAAATCGCCTGCGGAGTATTGCACATCAAAAGTGCAATGGAGACATTCTGGCAAAATATCCGGATCTCGTTCATTCTCGTGATGCTGCACCCATCACATCCACTGGGTGACATTGTGCTTTTGATGAATCTCCTGTCAACGAGTATTCGCGCAGACTCCTTTGGTCCGATTAGAACCTCTGATCAGGACCAATTGGACGTGCAAAAGTGGATTGTGGACCGCCTCACGCACATGCTGAGCGAGCCCGCGATACCGGACGAAGGGGTAGAGCCATACACCGCATACGACATTTGCGCGATGCGCCTCGAGGTCCTGCTGCTGCTAGAGTCGCTGGCATTCAATCCTATGGCCCCATCCCAAAAGCATGCCAGTACGATCCTCGCATTGCACCCGAATGCGCTCGCTCGTTTATTCCGGTCAATGTACGATGAGCTGGATGCACTTTACTCCTCCCCGCCAGAGTCAGCCCTGCGCGTTGCGCTGGTCAACGGCCTTATGCGGCTGGTCTTCGGGGTCATGCGGCAACATGGCCCCTTGATCAATATGCAAGAGAAGCTGGCGTGTGTGCCTGGTAGCAAACAGAAACATCTCGTCGTGTTAACTCGCTTGGCGTTTTGCGATGGGACTGTGCTGGAGGCAGGCATCGATGATGAGACCGTTGATATGGCGCACGAGCTACTGGAGGAATGGACTAATCCCCAAGAAGCAGAGTCACTAGCGGAGGCGTTCCCAAGTTCTAGGAGAGAGTGACACAGTGATGACAAGACGTCCAATGTTGTACGACTAGGATTTAAATATGCATTTGGCATGACGTGATGAGTTCTCTGGAGTTCCTAGCATGCTCCTTTACCATGTACCAAAACAATTTTATTTCGTTTTAAAGAATTCAAGAGATGAGGGAAAAGCTACAGAGTAGACATAGCTGTAATAGGAGAGGTTTGAGACATCCAACAAACGTGAGCTGTAACATTTACAGGAGTGAGGTCCCAATGCTCCGACAGATTTCCACCTCTCAGCCGTTAAGGGAGCGCAGCAAGGGGCCAGGAAAGGGAATCAAGTGATGGAGCAGTCACGTCTAGGATAGGAGGCTGGAGACATTGTGGGCACCACGCGACGCGTCAGAAACTTCCTGGGGGGTTTCTGGGAGGCGCGTTCTGTCCAGAGCTTCATCGACAGGGCCAACAACATTATAAGGGGTCACACGAATGGGGAGATATTTCACGGGAAAGAATTGATAGAAGACAACAAAAGCAAGGCTTCGTGGCCTCACACTTCCAAATCCTACGGAAGCTACATTATCAAAGCTACAAGATCCTCTTCTCCAAGCTCGAGCCTCTGACTCAAGGATTGATGAAAAGAAAAGACTCCACGAATGGAGGTGCCAAAGAATACGCCTGTCAATGACCCATAAAGAACCATTGAACAGACTGTTCCACCACGCTGTGCAATGCAGGGACCAGTCTGTGGTGAGAACGTCTTGTTGATCACGGTCACCCAAACAAGGTAAGTATGAAGAAGAAAGAAAAGAAGAGGAAGAGCCAGGGTCAAGCAGCTATATATATCGCTTCCCACAGGGCGGTGGCAGAATCTGGACAGGGCAGTGGCATTAAGTGAGATTTTATTGGCCAATCACTCAGTGGGGCCCCTTATATAATATGCAAACGAGGCGAACATCGAATCCCTCGTGACTTCTGCCTTATATTTAAGGCGTCAATTTCCTGACAGTCACGTGCCCTGAAGTTTTGAGAGTCGGCCAATTTGGACTGGATAACATATCATTTGCTACAGTATTGTGTCTACCGAGTCGCCACAATGAGAAACAGAGCTAGCAACACGTTGTCAAAAGGCGTATGTCTCTACTAGTATACTTGCTTCCCCCAATTGTAAAACGCTAACAAGACATTGGTCAGAAAATCCGTCAATCATGGAGCAAATACAACCTGTATAACATGCAACGATTCCGCAGCCCATCCACCACCAATCGCACATTCTTTCAGCAAAAATGGTCTGCTAAGGCTGCCTCCCGTGCCTATCACGGCGAGCAGGTCCGTGAGGGACAGTGGAAACGCATGTTCAACCATCGCATTCGCAGTGTTATCCCGATGAATGCATCCGACTTGGCCGCCGATGACGGTTCCCTAGTCTCGTCCGGTCGAGGTTCGGGACTTGATAAGGGTGGCAAGCCCGCTTACCAGAAACGTCCTATACCTTACACCCACATGACCTTTGCGCCCCTGGAGCGCCGGTTGGATGTGGCCATCTTCCGAGCTTTGTTTGCTAGCAGTGCCAGACAGGCGAGACAGTTCGTCATCCACGGAGCGGTCACTGTTAACGGCCAAAAGGTATGATTCGACGTGGGAAGCTACCAATTCCTTGGTTACTGACTCGCTTTTGTGTTATTAGATGAAACATCCCAGCTACCTCCTCAACCCCGGTGACCTCTTCCAGGTCGACCCAGACCGCGTATTGTACGCTACAGGTCACACGAAGACTCCGTACGAGCGACGTCAGGGCCGATTGGCTCGGAGAAGCGCTAAGGAACAGAGGTCAGAGGAAGCCGAGGCCGCACAGGAGGCTGAGGACTCAAAGGAGACCGCCAAGGAAGGGACCAAGGAGGCTGAAAAGGAAGATACCAAGGAGACTCTCAAGGCGCTTCTTGCACAGGCTAGGTCTGTCATGTCTGCCGGCAAGAATACACTCGCACCCCAGCGCAAGCAGGAGCTCCGCGGTTTCCAACAAGCCGTCCGCCGCGTATTATCCCGCTCCGAGTCCAGTACTGTCCTGGCAGACAGCCTGGAGGCCCAATTCTCCCAGCTAACCCTGTTGCTCAAGGCCAAGCGGAGCGAGAAGAAGCCAGACAAGAAGGATGTGAAGCCCCGTCCAGAAGACGCCTTCGCAACAGACAAGGGAGATGCAGCGGTGGCTTCCGCCAAGAAAGATGCAGAACCCGCAGCCAGCGATAAGCTCTCCGAAGCCTTCGCACAGGCGACGCTTGGTAACGAGGTGGATGCCTCGGAGCTAAGCGAAGAAGAGTTCGACACGCTCAAGCGCGCTCTTACTCAAATGCGCGACAACCCCCTCGACAACAGCAAGACCTACTCAACCCCCTGGCAGCCACGCCAATACATGTCTGCCTTTGCCTTCATCCCGCGCTATCTCGAGGTCAACCAGAACATTTGTGCAGCCGTGTACCTGCGCCACCCCGTGGCCCGCCCCGGTTCCGCCGAGGTGCCCACTCCCTTCGGCGAGTCCATTGCCACTCCGGCTTATGGCTGGTACCTGAGGAGACGGTGGTAGAGGATTCGATTCGCCTGTCTTTCTCTGCCTAGCCTGTCCCTTCCTCGTTTGTCTCGACTGTTCTATTATTTGCCCTCCCCTAAACTTCCCATCTGTGTATTAGTGGGCGCTTGGGTCTCCCTCCCTTTCTGCATATTTCTGGATCATGTTGACCATGGTGTTGGTTCCTGTTTTGCTTGTCTTTGGAGCTTTTTGTGTCAGCTCTGCCCCTGTACCACCATAGCCATGATGTGTTGTAAATGGATATAGTATGGATGCTATTGTCTCACGATGTGTATTGACCAGTCATTTGTATGATCCTAGAGTAGCCTTGGCTGCTTTGCTCCCTTGTTATGGGTGGATATTATGCCTAGCAGCCTGTTCTTAATGTACTGCTAGACTGTAATTCTATAACAGACGTTTGAGCCTCACACGAACTTGTACGGACATGATCAAACTTGTAGGCAATTACCTACATATATATTGGAGATGATCAAGGCTTGAAAATATATCGCGAATATATAAATATGTAGGCAATGAGTACTAAACCCGACGGAAAGTATATAATTTAAAACGACTACATGTAATTAAGTATAATCTAGATATCATCGTGTGAAATTGTCCGAAGCTCATTCCCATTCTACAGATTGTACAGTTACATCTACGAAGTATGTAAAGCTGCTTGGCGCACGGACCCCATGGAAAACCCTCAGGTGAAATCCATCGCAGCTTTATCTTTATCCCCACAGATCGACAAGGACATTCTATATTGGTCTGCTACACTATTGTCACACCCATTGATGGCTACTTTGAACAAGGAGACTATCTCCTGGACCCCATAGGCCAGCCAACTTGCACTGTTGGTCTCCCACAGCGGCTGCTCGACTACTGCTATTGCTACTGCTATTGCTACTGCGAAAGCTGCTGTCCTCATGACGCGCATTCAACCACACGAATACGGCCGTCCTTCATATCACTCCCTTCCACAAAATTCCTTTGGAACCGTACCATCGGGCCCGCGCTCAGGATTTAGCCCAGCTTCCCAGTCCGTGTCTGTGGTAGTGAGGAATCCACCTACGACTAACGCATCAGCGAGCAGTGAAGAGACACTTGGAGGGGCAAACCTGACCGGAAGTGATTCACGTGAAGGAGACATCCTCCAAAACGATCTATACTATGCTCCGATGCCGGCGGGCGTAGCTCAAGCCAGCGAAGGAGATGGGTCAAGGTTGATGTCGGGATCAACCACCAACAGAGGTACGAAGCGCAGTCACAACGGCGACGATGAGATCGATGGCGACACTTCGCGACAGCATAGACGTCTCACGACCAAAGAAGAAGTGGCGCTCTTCGAGATCTGCAACCGAAACGCAGACTCCTTCGGCAGCCGCAGTAATCTGTGTAAGTGGTGGATATCCATCGCGGCCGAGTTCAAGCGCACCCATGAGGGCCGTTCATACTCGTGGCATTCGGTGCGGCGCAAAGTCGAAATGGTTACAAGACAGCGCATCAAGTTCCTGGAAGACCAGAGACAGCGGGGCTCAAACGCACCCGGCTCGACGGCCGAGGAATTGATGAACCCGCAATGGCTTGCTGCCGTCGATGCCTGGCTTCCGACCTGGCAGCGGTGGGAAGATTCCGAGAATCGGCGCATTGCAAAGCGGGATGAGCTCAAGAAGCGCAGACAGCCCCAGCCCTGGCGCCAGAGTTCGAATAACGGAGACCAGGAACCATGGCGGAATCTGCCTGGATCATCTGCCACTAGCCCGACTGATGTCAACGGCGCAATGATGGGTATGCTGCACCAGCCTGTCGCAAATAACGTCGGTGATGCTACCCTCCCGGCTACCAGCCCCACGCCCTCGCCCTCAATTACTGGCCCTGCACCACCCGCGCATTTCCTCGAATCACCCTCTACCCCTGTCTCTGCGACTACCTCACTGAAACTACCCCCGGGCTTCGAGAATATGTTCTCCACCCCACCAACCACATCAAGAGTCGCACCTCTTCCCTCCATATCCACACCAGCAGTTCCACAATCCGACGTCCGTATGGTCTCAGCCGTCCTTGAAACCCTAGGAAAACTCAACAAACACCTAGACGCCGCATCGGGTGGTTCTATAGACCCGAGTGCGGCCTCCCCCGTGATATCGGCTTTGGTGCAGGCTGCCTCGGAACCACCGGTTCGAGCTTCTCCTCGGCAATCACAGCACCCGCAAGTACAGCCTATGTTACAACCACAGCCACAGCAAGGTCCTACTCACATCCAGATTGAGCAAATGAAGGAAGAGCTACGGCAGGAGATGCAGGCGCAGTTTCGAGGTGAACTGGAGCGCGAACGTGTTGCGATGGAAGAAAAGCTGGATTCTGTGCAGCGGACTCAGGACCTGATTCTTGAGATGTTGAGACAGGAGCCTGCTTGATGTAGGTGGAGTCTTAGTTTTGCACCTTTTCTCTGGGCGTGGCCTGTGTTGTCTCGCTTCTATTCTTGCTTGTACTTTTACATTCTCTTATTTCTGATATGATACCCATTATCGACTGCGAAGGACGGCGTGCCTGCATAGCTTCAAGAGGGCTGATATTGCTACCCAAGTCTTTACTTGATATTCTTGATGGAGACCTTGCAAGACTACTTCCTAAAATTTGATGAGCTTGAAAAGCACCCAGCCGATGGCAATTCCTCTCTACTCTAGAACAGAAAACAAGTAAACAAACATAAGAGAAAATAGTCATCGGGCTAAATTACAGATAAATGATAGAACGACCCAAGAATGCCTTCCCGAGCCTTCACACAACGATTAAAAGCTCTTCCATGATGCACAGAAGTGCCTATAGGGCGAAACGATCTAGTAGTAGAAGGTCTCATCGACGGTACGACCACGCATCCACTTAGGCTCAGAGCCACGGACGTAGATGTCCTCGAAGAGGATACGGGGAGTGTTATCGGGGATGGGCATTTTCTCAGCCTCGGCGACCTCGGCGTCGACGTTAGCACGGGCGGTCTTGTCAAGACCCTTGAGCTCCTCCTCGGAGGTGACACCCCACTCGAGCATCTTCTGCTTGAGGCCAGCGATGGGATCGTGGGTGCTGCGCATGCGCTGGATCTCCTCACGGCTGCGGTAGGTGGTACCGGGGTCGGACATGGAGTGGCCACCGTAACGGTAGGTGACGTACTCTAGGACGAGGGGTCCGTTGCCGGTGATGGCGTAGTTCTTGCTGTACTGGACGGCGGCCTTGGTAGCGAGGACGTCCATGCCGTTGACCTTCAGACCGGGGATGTACTGGCCACGCTTGTAGTACTCGGTCAGAGCGGAGGAGCGCGAGGCGGAGGTACCCATGCCGTACTTGTTGTCTAGAGAAACACAATGTTAATACATCTGCGGTTTGTTGACGCTGTAAAGACTCGGAATGAACCACTTACTCTCACAACCGAAGAGAACGGGCAGGTTCCAGAGCTTGGCCATGTTGAAGGCCTCGAAGACCTGACCCTGGTTGGAAGCACCGTCACCGTAGAGAACGATGGAGGTGTTGGGCTGCTCGTTGTATTGCTGGGCGAAGGCCAGACCGGCACCGACGGGCACCTGGGCACCGACAATACCGTTACCACCGTAGAAGTTCTCGGCGAACATGTGCATAGAACCACCCTTTCCGTACGCGATACCCTCGCGGCGGCCGAGAAGCTCACCAATGATGGACTTGACGGTACCACCACGCATCATGGCGAAACCGTGGCAACGGTAAGCAGTAATAACCTTGTCCATGCGGGTGATGGCGTGCTCAATTCCGACAGCGACGGCTTCCTGTCCGGTCGACAGATGGCAGAAACCCCGGATCTTCTTCTCCTTGTACAGACGATCGGCGGCCATCTCCATACGTCTGCAAAAAGAACAAGCAGTCAGTCAACGGCTAGTTCAACATATCCGCTATCCTGCTTATCATACCTCATCGCAACCATGTCGTAGTACATCTGCTTGAGCTCCTTCTTGGAGGTCTCGAGAGTGTACGGGGGTGGGTCGAGCTCGTAAGTCTCGAAGCTCTCATCGGAGAGACGGACAGTGAACGGCTTATCATCCTCCTGTTAAAGCGCAAGTACAAGCATCAGCAATTGAAACTCCGGGAAGATTCAGGCGAGGTTTTTCAGTTCCTCCGGATAGGGCTCAACAAACCTGCGGCACCGGGCTCTCAACGTTAGCGGAAGCGGCGTCGGTGGTAACAGTGCGACGGGCAAGAGGAGTGAAGGCACGACGCCTCAAAGGCGCAGCCTGACGGACCGCGGCACGGAAGAGCATTTTGTGAGGGAATTGGAGATGGTACGTTGTAGATGATAAGCACCTTTTTCCGTCCCAACAACTCTCTTCAATTTTGCCGTCTTAGTCAGCTTCCAGATCGGGGCCGCCCGGTGAGGAACATAAGGCCGGCTCCGATACTAAACGACTTCACTACTTCACTCTTGAAGATTGATTCTACTATATTTGCTCGGATATTCTTATATTTGGCAATTGACTCCTTTGGAATATCAAAATGGACCATCCCAGCTAACAACTGGTGTTTCTGTTGTGCCGACTTGGGATTCTATCCGGTTTCGATCTCCGATCCAATCCCAACGGTTCGGTGCGCCTCTATATAACATAGCAACTTCAACCCTTTGGTGACAAGAAGATCAAATTTAAGCTTTTCTAGGGAACTGATTTCCTGTTAAATACCTGTAGGTCATTTAATTTGTTTGTAGCAAGCTTAACAAACAATAGTCTTCTAAAACAGAACATATACAAGGCTGGGATATGTGACTATGAGGGCAGCACACTAACAACCTAACTTGGTAAATAGTCAAAATTGCATTAGCAGGCATAAGAAGAGAATCTCAGGCAACCAGACTTGAATATGCCAAAGTCCGAAGTATGCCTGTTTTGACGGTGAGGCAGAAAAAAGCCACCCCAAATGGATATCAAAAGGTAATTGACACCGACCTCCGGATAATTGAGACGAATAGCTAAACGAGAGGCTCAAAAGGCAGAACATCCTTTTCACAAATCCTTCTTAGTAACTCTAGAACCTTACTCTTATGTGAATAAGACCCCAAGAGGCTGCTTTATTGACTTTGTTGACCTTGTTGACCTTCCCAATGGAAGTGCAGTTTGTTCAGGTATTGCACGTCGAACACCGACCGCCGTTATTTAAGACGCTCCTTTTCCCCTCCGTCGTCCTCTCTTTCTCTGCATCAGCTTCTGAACCGGTGTGGCCAAGGTTTGCACCATATGCCTCTATCTAAAGACAGGAAGCTAACAAACCATCAAGCAGCACCAATCTCGATATGGCGGAATCCACTGCCAGACTAAGCCTTCCTTCAGGCCCTCCCACTGGCCCTCCCATTGGTACTGCTATACAACCTCTGGTTGTGTTCGTTGCTCGTGGCGCTCCCAAGCCCACATGCGTCGTCGAACTCGGCCAGCTCAAGCACTACCTTCGTCCCGCCTTGATTGAACTCCAGGAACAGTTTGAGCGCAAGTATGGGAAGCTGGAAGGACGTTCCTACTGCTACTGCCCATTGATTCACAAATCCATCACTCCCCTTGAGCCGGATTCCGACTCGTTCAAGTCTCTGACCGATATACTCATGTATGGCCGGATCCATCGCTGCGACATCATGTTTGTCTTGAACCACTGGGACTCCATCACCTCCGACGGACCGAGCTTTGCCAATATCTTCAAAGGTTTCACCGACGTCAAAGTGACCATTCGCGTCTACGGCACGATTTCAGCCGACCACGTTAGCGAATTCCATGATCTCGACGCCCACAAAGTTAGCGCTCACTACCAAGGCTTGATCAGACTGGAAGAACAGTTCGTTATTGACGATGCACTGCGTTATGTGGTCAGAGTCGAAGAAGTCCGTGCAGTCAGGATCGGAGTGGAGGAGTCAGTTGGCCTGATGAAGGAATTGACTGGCGAACCCGAGGAACAGCTGCTGGAGAGAGTGCTGTGGATGCTTTGATGCGAGGAAACGAACCGAGCAATTGGGCTCTTGGATATTGATGGAGATATGAGGGACTCTGACGATGGATGTTTTCCCTCCATGGGTTGAGACATGTGATTCTATGCCCAAGTTTCTTTATCCGAAGGTTGAAGCACCAATGTATCTTAGCAGCTTTGACAAAGCCCATTTACAATGTCTGAGCAAGCCTTGAGTTGTGCTTGTCTCGGGATCAAATGAAGCAATTAATAACTTCATACTTCGGCCTTCTCAGGTTGTCTTCTCCGATAGTCCTTTTATATGTCTTTTTAGTGGTCTTTCTAGTGGTCTTTTTACACGTCCGGTTATATAGATATTTTCTTCCCTTTCTCAGTTTGCTGGGAAGACAACAGAAAAGGGCCAAAAAAGGCTTAATTTGTGAAAGCGACTTTTCTATGTATAACCTTTGACAACCAGACTACCGCCGCATAAGCGGCCGAATATGCTTGTAAATGATTATTCTAGTCATTGTATAGCGTAGAACATGGCACACTTCACATGCTTTCGAAGAGTCTATTCATACTGACCATGAAGATGAAGGTAGCTATAAGCCAGACCCGATTAATAGCTTTGGGCCTACGCACCAATCGGACGACACTCATACACCACAAGCGTTAGAGCGCTGTTATTCCAATCATACAATCTCAACAGAAAGCTTGCATTGTGTAAGGCGTTTATGTCGAGCTGATTAAAGCGTACAGAACATCTAAGATACGAATGTGACGCATCGTAGCGGCATGATCAAAGCCGTTGAACAAAGACATGAATAAACATGTCGTATTGACTCAACATAAGAAAACACGTGTCATAGGTATCAATACACAACGGAGTAAAGGACAGATATAACCGAAATTACCCCGCGAATGTACAAAAATTGGATCTTCAAACGTTACCTAGGTAGACGCCATTAGCACTATCATGTTAAAGGCAGGTGTAGTATACAAAAGCCCGATATCAGAATTGGCGAATAACGCCACGTCTCCATCAGTTCGTGCATTGGCTCAAGTTTATCCATAACTTATATTAACTTATATTAATTTATTCGGTCATGTTAAACCTTACAAATGATAGACCTGAAACACTTTGATTCAGCTGAGACGGCGATCGGATAACACTGATAGTGGCCTGGGCTGATAGGATTCAAGACATCCTGCCGTAGGACCCTTGTTTACCTACTTTGTGTGAGGTCTGTGTGAGAGAGAATGAGTGAAGGAGCATGTCAAAGGATTTGAACCATCCGCTTGCATGGACGATCTGCGTTGCGTGTGTACACCGGAGTATCCTTTTCTGAAACTAATGCGGTCTAATGTAGAGCTATGGACGCTAGTGGACACGCCGTCTTCTTGAGAGGCACATTGGCTTGTGACAGAAGTCAGTTCTGGATTAGCCCCGAAAGGATCTATATTCTCGTTGGTATGAAGCTGGAGCTGCAGTCTACTGCATCTACTGAACTTTGGTCACAATTTCAAGTCCTCGAGTCTTTCATGCAGCTAACGATTATCAGGTTCGGGATCAGCCTGGCCAATGAGACCTGCATGTACATGCACTTACCTGCATGTAGGAATGCACTCAACTGCATTTACTAATAAGGGATCGAAGGGTTGCATTTCTAAGCTTATGTATGTACAAAGCAGGAGAATGCTATATCGTAGCCCTGAAGGTATCATCGTGATCATGTCACTTCTACTCCATAAGTTCCAAGTCAATTCTTTAGAAGCGACCAGTTCGGACTCTGAAACACAAATACCACTAGAGAATCGAGAGGAGGGAAAGGATCAACCGGCTAAAAGGAGTTAGACTGTCTTTACATTATTATCTCCGCTATGGAAACTTTCAACGGTGATGATCATTGATCCATGCGCTTCAATATACGGAGTACAAAGTACATATATGTGGATCGTTGCACGGAGTATTATTGTAAGATTGCGGAAGAATAGCCAGACATGCTAATTTTACAGTCTAGAGACAATGCAGCCGGCAGCTGAGCTGTCAGGTAGGGTTTGCCACACTGGATATCTCTATATGCCTAGACTTGACAGCTCCAGGAACGAGTAAGGACTTATTACCAGTCAACTCCGCTCTTGGCCGTTCTTTGTACTCCGTAGACGCGATTAGCCTGCATGATAATTCTCCGACGCAGCATGACGTGCAGGCTAGCACAGGGGGTGTACCTACATACATAGTTTGTGATAGATCCAATATCAAAACCCCACCTCAAAGGGGGAGGCGTTGCCAATCGTTATCTTCTACAAAATTGACACGGAGTACTCATTGGCAATTCCTTTGGCAAGCCGGAATTCCGAAACAATGGAGAAGTAGCTAAAGTGAGCACAGACACTCTGCAGCATCCAAAAAGCAGGAGTAGTATGTCGATCACCGCGTAAACGGCATTCGCACCCACCCGCGCAACGGTATGACCCATAAACGGGGGAGTTGCAGTCAATGATATTCAAATCAATTTCTCCTAGCTTCGCCTCTCCTATGTCGTATTGCCAGGACAGCTGATTTGAGCGCTAACGAGTGGGACAAATACGATAGACCCGTGTCGAATGCAGGCGCGACGAGGGGGATCAGGAGTTAAAGCGAAGACGAGCCAGACCAATTGGGCCGAGGGGTTTCTGTTGACCCAGTTGTGAGAGCTAACTAACTGCCTACCATGTTGCTTATGGCAGAAAATCTCCGTTGGAGTCCGCTGGAGGAGTGATCGTCAAAACTTCGTAGTGTCTAGACGCCACTCCGTTTAGGACATCCGCAGTCGACGCGGACCAATTTTGTTGATTTTCCGGATGTCGATCACAGACAAGGGTTAACAGACTTGGGCTTGAAGCTGGGGTAAACGATGAAGAGAAATTGCGTCATTGCAGAATTTATTTCGACAGAAAAAAAGTCTCCAATTTCCAGAATCCTTCTCCAGAGCCAAACCTTTTGACAAGGGGGGAGAAGCCGTTCGGAGGATCGACAGAGAAATTTGCTGTTCCAGGGAGCGTGTTCCTTAGCCAATATAGAGTGGGTATACGACTAGTGGATGAATGAGCCGCTTAAAACCACGTGACTTGGGATTTAGTGCCAGCGGAGATTAAATTAATCCGATCTGAAGTAAATCCACTAGCCAACCTTGTTATCACCACTCACGGATTTAGGTTTCCCTTCTTGGAACCTTGGAACGTCTGGAGAAATTCCCAAGGTTGGTGCCCCGGTGGATTTGCCGAATATTTGAGTGTCCCGAGAGTCCATGGACAAGATGTGGACAAGATGTGGATAAGAACCCGGAAGAACCAAGATTTACAACATAGAGTTGTAGGAGTTTTCCAAGGTTGAATTGCAGAAGAGGTTAATGAATAATATAATTTGTCTCGGTACTCCGTATTCCATTGTTCTCCATAGTTAATTAATTCCGATTTCAGGATCAGATCCCTTAAAATGGATTGTAAAGCCGATCGGAAATCCGTGCCACGTCCGATGAGAATTGAAGTACAGTACGAAGTATCGAGGTATATAGTTACATATTCATATAATACTACTTAACTAACAGTAGAATAATGCCGTAACTTCCGTTCTCAGGCTTGGAGCCTATAGCTATCGGATAATAAAGGGGTGCAATAGGCTATGTAACCATAAAAATATCAATTCAGGGGATCTCCACCTCCATATCCATGGTTGAGAGTGGGACTTATTGTACTAGTAAGATCTTGACCAATTCCATGGTTTCTTTCTCTTTTTTGGTTTTTTTTTTCAATTTCACTTTTTTCTGCAATTCATCAATTTATTTTCCATGTGTCCACTCTAAACGTGTTGTATACCTCCGTGTTGCCCCCTGTTCAGCTCCATCTTCCTCATCTTGTATACACTATTACCTGAAATGCCTGGATTTAATTATTATTATATTTCTCTTTAATTATTTTATTTTTATTTTTCATTACTTTTCGGATCTCCTGAAGGTTCGCCTTGTTTTTTTTCCTTCTTTTCCCCCCACCTCTTTGTTTCCTTTGAGTCGATGTGGAAACGTTCACCTAGATCGGAGGACTACTCTGGGAACAACTCAACTCAACATCATCTATCTGAGCTGGGTTTCCTAGGTCGATCCAGAAAGTCCAAAAGTAAGTGTGCTCTGTGTCTCTCTTCTATCAGCGTCGGGATTCCCAGTCATGGACAAAATGTCCTAGATCTGAGACTATTGTGGCCTGTTCTAGATGCCTATGGGATAAATCGGACTAAAACCACCCTCCCCTGATTGTTGTTTGGGGGGTTTTTTCTTCTCTTCTTATTCACATCTTCAATACTTGAGCTTCTGTAAAATAGCTTCAATCTGCTATAAGTCTTGAAGGGTCCCCACCTTGCTAACCAGGTTACCTGTGACGTACAGAATTTCAATCGCAGCCAGAATCATCCTCTCGTTCACCTCTCCGTTCATTTCGTTCATTCACTCGAGGCGTGATAGACCGACCCAGCAGCAGTCTTTTCAACCAGACCGATATTACCCGACCAAGAGCACCCTCGACTGTCGTTGGATCGATTAATTCTGCCTACCACGAACACGCCGGTCTACCCGCGCATTCAAATCGCTCACGAACGTCATTTAATTCGAGATCGGGACGGACCACCGGCCCAATGGAGGTAGATCGCACCCACACGCGGAGGGAAAGGACCTTTGTCGGGAGCGAATGCGCTGTCTGCGAGGAACCCTTGGAGCATACCCTACGCGGCGAGCGTGTTCTGCAGCTCTCGTGCTCCCATGTCTCCCATGAGGCCTGTTTCTATGAATTCCTACGGGAATGCGAAGGACAATACTGCCCAACCTGCAATGCGCCATTGGCCCTGGACACAAGTCGCGGTGGAAATGTCTTGGATATCGGTATGTCTCTCGTGCGGGGTTTAGAGGGGCCCAGAAGGCTAATGTGATTATCCCCAGAGAAAATTAGTAATATTGTTCGCTCGGTGACGTCGAATGATACCGCGACAGTACGCAGTGGCTTGACAACACCAACTCCATGGGAGCCGTCCAGTCGACGAGCACCGAGTGAATCCGGCAGTCGCTACACCTCGGGTACCCGAGAGGCACCGCCTTACACCCCTTCAACGAGGGACCCATCTTACAACCCCTCAGCAAAAGAACTATCCTACAACCCCTCGAGAGATCCATCCTATAGTCGACGAGATAGCCGTGATACTAGCAGCCATCGTGAGCGTGTAGAGCGATTGACTGTGGGCTCTAATCCCCGTCAACCCCACTCCCGGAACGGCAGCGCGGCGGGCTCATCGGGCGAATACAACGAAGGCCACCACACTAGTGGGCGGCGCCATGATTACGATGTTCAAGCCATGGAGTCAGACCTCAGTCCTCGCCCTAAGGTCGCCAAGAATCCCATTCCTGCGCCGATAGTCACTGTCCGAAGCGAGTTTCCGACTATGAACCGATCCCGCCAACAGCAGACCCTCACGTGTCTGATTACGGTCGAGGTTCCGGATGCCAATTGGCGTCCTGACTTAGATGACCTCCGACATACGCCTTCGGGACACTCGCAGCCGGAGGAACCATACGCAGGCCGGGTTGGTGGCGGACAGGATGCGAGATCGATCCAGTATGAACCAACGGAGAATATGGAAGAAGTGGCTGAGGAATTGCGCAACCGAGTGGACAATTGGCACGGTCTTGAGTTCCAACGGTTCGGCAAGCTGCGCCTCCACGGACACATGCGCGTGGGCAAGGACCGGGATTCCTGGCAGGAGTTGGAATGCTATCTCTTCGGAGAGATGCTTATTTGTGTCAAGGAGAAGAAATCGGGTGACTCCCAATTCGATGCGACGGGGCGACGCAAGCCTGTTCGTTGCAGTCTCAAGGGCTCAATATTGATTAAGAAGCATTTAAAGTCCATCGAGGTGTCGTCAGATGAACCTATTCTCTCCTTGAACCTTTCTGTCAGCGAGCTGCCCTGTTTCTACCTCCGCTTCCAGAGTCGCAATCAGCTTGAGACGTGGCGTCGGTCTTTGATCGATTTGCACCCAGAGGCCATTTCACGCCACAACGACTATGACTACGACAACTCGGGGGCGGAGGAGGACGACTACCGTGGTAGCCGTGGAATCCAACGACAGGCTTCTATCAATTCGTCTTACGGCGCAGGAAAATCCATCAATACCGCCATTACAGACTACACCAACCCCGACTACGCCAGCCCCGACGCAGAATCCCCTGCAATCAACCCTGTTCATATTCCCCTCGACCTTGTCGTGGTCATTCCAGTCTCCTCGTCTATGCAAGGCCTTAAGATTACTCTGCTGCGTGATGCCCTCAAATTCCTCGTGCAGAATCTAGGCCCTCGGGACCGGATGGGCCTTGTGACTTTCGGCTCAAGTGGTGGAGGTGTGCCCCTGGTCGGTATGACCACCAAGTCCTGGGCTGGATGGCCCAAGATCCTTGAATCGATCCGGCCGGTTGGCCAAAAGAGTCTCCGTGCGGACGTGGTTGAAGGTGCCAATGTTGCCATGGATCTTCTGATGCAACGCAAATTCAACAACCCCGTCTCGACCATTCTTCTGATCAGCGACTCTTCTATCTCCGACCCTGAAAGCGTTGATTTCGTGGTCTCCCGCGCGGAAGCTGCCAAGGTCACCATCCACTCGTTTGGACTTGGATTGACCCACAAGCCTGATACCATGATCGAGTTGTCTACTCGTACCAAGGGATCCTACTCGTATGTGAAGGATTGGATGATGTTGCGAGAATGTGTTGCTGGATGCCTGGGCGCGTTGCAGACAACCTCCCACCAAAACGTCAAGTTGAAGCTCCGCCTACCTGAAGGGTCACCCGCCAAGTTTGTTAAGATTAGCGGCGCGCTTCACACCACAAAGCGTGCAACTGGCAAAGATGCTGAAGCCGCACTGGGAGATCTCCGATTCGGTGACAAGCGCGACGTCTTGGTTCAACTTGTCATCCAGCCTGATAACGCTACGCAGGACAACATGCCGCAGGATCCGTGGGAGAGCCTGGTCTCCGGATTGGAGGCTCTCGGCGGTGGTTCCGATGGTGATGAGGGCCGGGTTCTGAGTGTTGAAGAGGTCCCATTGATCCAGGCTGACCTAACCTACGGTGACCTGCTCCGTGATGGCCATCTCACCCACTCCCCTCGTCCTTCACTCCTGGCCATTACCATGTTGCCTCCTAACCCCCGGGCCAACGGCCAGCGATCCTCGACCCCTCCAATTCCTCCCCATCCCTCGATCGTGCAGCGCCGCATGGAGCTACTCACTTCCGACATGCTGACCCGTGCTCTCACGCTGGTTTCTCGGGGCCAGCATGATCGCGCGATGCATCTCCTCAACGAAACCCGCAGCATCCTCAAAGGCCTGGGCAAGGGCGGCCTGCCACCTCTGCCCCCGGGTGCTTCCAAGTCCGACGCCGATGCCGACAGCCGCGGCGACACTCCAGTCTCAGCCTCCTCTCCTAAATCTTCTACCTTCGGTGGAACCCATTCATCCGCATCCGACACCAACACCATCACGCCGGCCTCCGCAGTCGATGCTCAGACAATGATTGCCCTGAACGCAGATCTGGAATCGTCCTTGGAGTGGATCAACCACCCGGCAGTCTTCGGGCGTGATTCGCGCAAGGCAGTACTACAGAGCATTGGTGTGATCTCCTCGCAGCGTGCCTACACCTTCCGCACTCCATCCGAAGCTCACTGGGCCCAGCGTGTCTCTGGTGTGCGTCGGTTGACGGAGCGATCCCAAGATTGGCGCGAGACTGGCGACGATGCTCTGACGGAGGAATAGGGTTTCAACTCTCTGCAACCCAGCACGTCTTTCACCCCTCTTAATTTCTTTCTTTCTTTTTTTTTTGAAACGTTCTCCCCTGTCTCATATTCCCGACTTCTACATACACATCCGAGCCGACGTTATTTCCTCGTTTTCTTTTTTCCCCCTTTGCGATTTCTTTTGCCATCCCTATGATACCACTTTGTTCCCATGACTACGCAACATGATACCAGGGGCTTTGTTCTCGATGTGTTTCCGCTGTATTTGGACATAACATGTCTGTTTCTATGTAATTGCTCTGGCGGTCTCGGCTATGGTGCGCGGGTGGGGGTTCTGTCGGTTTTTTCCTTTTAGTTGTTTGAGCATATGACGATTTACCCGACTTTTTCTTTTCTTTTTCTATGCATCCAGCCTTGTTAGTCTATCTGAACGTATTGCCTACATATGTAGTTGTCTCGGATTAGTATATAACCTCATGGAGACTATCTGGTTTCAGCCACAATATCTCAGGTCCAACCCTAGAGGGACGGTAAGCTGTGTCAAGAGATCTTAGTGAGTTAATCTTTTTAGATACCTTTTGGGTGTCTTTTTGATTTCTGAGTTGATTCGAAGAAGAAAATAGGGTATGCTCACGGTAGGGGGATTTTGGAGATTTGGTCGACTTTTGGCAATGACCTCAGTGTATAAAGCTGTATCGGGAGCCCTTAAATGAGATCATAACCCTCTAGGATAAAAGAAATCGCAATCTATCGAAGACCAGGCAAGATTAATTGTTTTTCTATCACAACTTTAATGTGTTAACTGGAACCCAACAGGACTTGCATTATCAAAGGCTACATCCTGGGGAGGTAATAAACCGCGAATGTTCATAAATTGCTTAATATCACGTTGGCATCTTGCCGTCAACATTCTTCACTCAACGTTGAGTACGAGCCATTGAACATAGTTTTTTCACATGGCAAGAGACAAAAAGATCAAGGCGAACAGGATTGAAGATCTAGATTGATCTACCTGATGTATACATGGAGGGACCATTTGACCTTTGAGAAGCTTAGAACAAGAACTATTTGCTATGAAAATTTTCGTTGAAATCCTAACCAGTATGTTGAATCTTTACTCTGGTCATTTAGCGGGTCAATTTCTGACAATGGCCGGAACGGAAAGATACAAACTGGACTGTTCCAGTGAGATGCTTGCACACTCAACTTGTAGTTAGAACTCTTAGACTTGATAACTTTCTTGCGGATAAGTGGGGTTGTTTTGAGCGGACGGAGGATATAGCTATGTGTTGGGCACTAGTCTACCCTTCGCTACAAGGCGGAATCAGATGCATACAATCATCAAGAAGAATCCTACTCAGGTTGCACTTTGGGGACATGAGACAGAAAGCCTATAGATAGAGGTACGTATTATCTCCAGCGTGTGGCGAAAGTGCCAAATACGGTTGGGAGAAATACTAGAATCACGAGACTCTTCGGTAAAAAGGCGATGACATTGCCTCGCACGCGTCAATATAGAGACAGCTTACTAGCTGGGAAATTGGTAATGTGCACAGCTTCAGTACTATATACAAATCAAATCTTCTCGGCCATGCCACTCATATGTGGCTTTTCCAGCTCCCAGGACCGCCATAGGACCAAATATTGTACAACAGGACTATCATTCTGGTGGATAACGCGTTTAGCAATTGTGCTTATCGGTATTTTGTGGCCAATCTAGGGATGTCAGCTAATTCATTAGAAACGGTATTCCCATACAACTTACAGGATTAGAAAAGTCATCGTCATGCCTGTGGTGGCAGTGCTGGCTGTAGTTAGAAGACTCAGAGGGTCTGTTCGAGTAGGGTGATTGATCTCCATCCGACACCACGAATGCGCCGTCTTCACTTATTTCCGAAATATCTCCCTCTAAGTGCTCAGAGATTGACGCTTGTTCTTCATAGTCATGGGGCTCACTGTACGAGGATATAATTTCGAAAAGCTCATTTTCCTCTTCCGTGGCCATCTTAGGTAGGAAATGCCGGTGCCAGATGAATTTACAACAGAAGATGGACAAAATTTGTATTTTACTCTTCAATTCACGTACGAAGCCCATTTATGTAGCCCAAGGGTCTATTCGACTATGCCTTGATCATGTCTAACTAACGTTTAAACGACTGAGGCATGTCTAAAGGGCAAATTAAAGCCTCAACGACAAGCGAAAGAATTTAGCTAGTGCTTATAGCTCAAATTTAGTGGTTCAATTTGCGGGCTATCTACTTTCTTGAAGACCTTTAAACTTACCATCTTGAAACCACCCGGGTGGTTCCTCAATCTGGTCTCGGAATTCATCAAATTCAACGCTCAAGGCAAAAGAACGGACGGATAGTCAGGAGACCATGTTATATAATGTTTTGACGCGATGACTGATCCCTGGGACGCAGCGGTCGCCCTACTATAAAAACCGGGCACCAGTCTCGCTTGCTTTGCCTGTGATTCTATTTATTTTAACAAGTCGCGAGACAGTATGGGTAGAATTTGAGTTTTCTGCCAACAAGGTCCGTCTTCGCGCTCCCAAGCTCCATTCAGCTGAACTCGCTGTCGGCATTTACTTTGACCGCCGCCGTTAGGTATGATGCTGCATGCGCTTTTATCTACCGGCATTCGGTTTGGAGCAAAGACGTATCTAAAATGAAGCAAACTGCGAATAGCATTTTTAGGTGCATTGACATCTAGCACTTGCAAATATGAAACGGTCGCGTAGTGCTGCTCTGTGGGTTACCGATCAGTATTTCATTTGGTTGCTAAGCTTGCTCTAAAACTGCATATCACGGCTATGCTCTCTGTTGCTGGTTCGAATGCCGAGTGTCCGGTCATGTGTAGTCACGTCTGATTGACAGTCGAGTGGAATTCAGTCGTGCCGATTGGCGAAGCGGTGCAGAGGTAGATGGGTCGGGCGGTAGATGAGCCCCGCTCTGCTCGACTGATACCCCTGGAGATCCCACTGACCGCTGAGGCAGCTGAATCTGACGAGGTTCCTTTGGTGCTGAATACCTGACGGTGACATGTTCTCTATTGGTTGATGATTCGCTTGCCGAGTGGGCGGAGTCTGTCTCGGCATCCGACGATTGGACTCGTAATGGGCGAATCAAGGCGTCTAAAGGCCCTTCGTTTCGACTGTATTGATCAGCATCTCGGGCATTGAATAATTGGAATCAGCCCTACTTACCACACACAGCATGACGTGCCAAAACCTGTACTTCGTTTTTCCAGCCACTCTTCCGCGCAGGCCAGGTGGGAAAGCGCCTTGCGCTGACAGCGCAAGATCACACACTCATTTGCAAGATCTTCATCCTCGGCAAGACAAAATACACAGTGGATGTCGTCGACCTCTTCACTCAAGCTGAGCTTCCGAAGCGTCAAGTCTTGGACACGCGCCCAGATGTTAGCGACCGATGTCAGGATAGCTGGTCGGGCCGGTGGAACGTGCCATGGAACACTGTTCGTCCGCACCATTGTGGAAGTAACAAATGGATTTAATCGCTGCACAGGCTCGGGGCTAGTTGACAGGGGCACCGGCGGGTCTTGTCTGAGCCCGTGAGGTGACCGGTGAGTGTTGTCTGATGCAGGGCGTCGCCTGGAGGCTGACGATGTCTGACGCTGGCCCTAATGTACAACAACTGATGGAGAGCCAATTCCAGAGCCATGTTGTAGTCGCGCCTCTTACAGTATATAATTCTCCGCGGAGATGAAGCTCTCTATTTTGAAATCTTGCGGTTGGTTCAGCCTATAACTTGTCGACACCTAGATAAAGTGAATGACGTTTACTTGACCGACGTAAAATAGCAAAATAGCACGATGATTTCGATCTCTGGAGCAAAGTTTACTTGGTTTCTCCCAATTTAAGGCCCCAAACTCATATCCCCATATGGTTCTACGGATTGCACGGATCTACACGAAAGGGGTCCTCGCGCTGTTGTACCCGCCCGACGCGTGTATAATAAAGAAATTTAAAGTAACAATGCGAGGCATCAAATCCCAAAGTCCTGACGTAACGGGCAATTTTGTTTTACAATAATATACATGGAATCCCTTGAACATCAATGCATTCCATATACTGAAACAAGGAACAGAACAGATGCATTATAGCTCTAGGCCATAACACATTAAGACCCATGGTTGTTATGGTCTTGTGGCAAACCCGATCTTTCCACATATACCGCGAAAGGACTAGACTCCGTGTTAGGCATAGTTAAAATCTCGGCGTAACTAGGAGCCGCATTCAAGCGCATTCAAGCATACCTAAACCCCGAGCATCCAGGGCCATCCATGGATCGTCCGACTCCTAAGTACAATTAACGTCCAATTCGGCAAGCTGCGCAGCCCAAGACATAGTAAAAGCGATCAATTACATGATATTGCAACAACAGTCGTCTATATGAGTTTTCCCTTGTAGTTTAATACTTTTTATATGCTATCCGGTCACTTTACAGAGTTTAGGGGAATTTAATAAACTAGTGACTGAGATACATATGTTTCTACAGTTAAGCGATATATTTTTTGATACTATAACAATGCAAGTTTTCGATTTATCCGAAATTGATGTATAACACTAGAAATGCTTATCAATTGCTATCGGTAAGCAATTAAATTAAATAAAGACATTGGTTGAAATATAAGTGACGAGTGTATCATTTTACTATGTATTTTAGGCTGCGCAGCTCGCCTGCCGAATACATTAAGTGGTTAGTTACTGAGTAATCACCCTGTGCTATGAGATACCTCAGTGAGCAAGAACCTGAGCGCCCTCAGAAAGCGGCGGCACTTAGAATCGGTTGTGGAAATGAATGTACCAGCTAAAAATACATAGAATCCATATCATTAATCCCCAACGCCTAACCCAAAACCTCTCCATGACGCATTCCTTTGGATCTATATAAATTGAATATTTCAATGCAATAATGCCCTGTGTTGAAACTCAGCACCGAAACGTTGCTGAATTACCTTGCCTTTTGGTTGAACTGTCCAGCCCGGCATGCTAAGGCTCTGCATTGCTTAGCTTCATTTTGACATGCTGATGTGACTTGAGCACAATATCCATTATGTGGCTCAATATCTGGGGAGGTACATCTTCCAGGAGAAGGTTATACCTGTGCGCTCCTTGCAAGTTGATATTTGGTAGAGGATGCATCATAAACTCGCTGGATTCTGATGGGGATAGGTCAATGTGCTGGTCAACATGCATTTGAGGGCCAGAGTCAAGCCACGAGGCATCGGATGGGGCATATAATGAGGAGAATGGAGCTAGGTCAGGAGCCTGCGTCATAGTGTGGTCGCTGTGTTCCGTCATCCCGCGCGAAGGGGGCGAACAGCTTGTTCCTGCTTTGCCAGTGGTCAACTGCGGACTAAGAGGGTCGACTGCCCCGGGGCAAGAATCAATGATGTCTGAAAGGAGGGACATGTCGACGTAAATGTCCTCGTCAGGGAAATGGGAAGGTTGGAAGTCGAGAATATTATTTATGTCATCAAAGGCTTGGAGTTCTCCAGGTGAGAGGCCTTGGACTAATTCACCACGTTTTGAGTCTGAGTCTGACTCGGATGTCATGCCTGAGCTGAAGGCGGTGCTTGGGCCAGAAAGTGGCGATCCAACAGATGGTGAATGCGAGGGAGAAGATGGGGCCGGTGACTTCCCAGTTAGGCGTCTCCGCTGCACCATAATATATCTGCTCACGACGTATAAGCGTAGCCCTATTCCTTGGAACAATTATCACACATACCGATTTTTCAGATCAGTCGAGGACCTCCCGGGAAATTCCTTTTCGTTTATCTCTCGCCAAGCTCGACCATGAACTCGAACAGCCTCTACCAGGCGCGTATCTTCATCCTCATTCCATTCGTCGTGGATAAGGTTAGGATCGAGGAAATGATACCATCTTTTTGCGCATTCTGTGAACACGCGTTAAAAAAAGTCGTCAAACCACCCATTCTGGGGTTGCACTTACGGTCTGCATGTCGAGTCTGGACATCTCTTGCCACGAGTGTCCAACTATAGTCAACATGTACGTTAGCAATGTTGGGCACCAGGATTGCTGATCTAAAATGGTCATGGAGGTAGGAGTCTCATCGTACGACAGTCCACGTTGATCTATTGCCTTGCGCAATCGATGGTCCTCATCTGAGCTCCAGGCACCCTTGTTGACGCTTGTTTCGAGTTTAGTCCATCTTTTGCGGCAGCCCTTGTTGGTTCTTGATACCAGCTTTGTCGCAATGATGTTCCAGTCCTTCACGTTGCCAAAAGTATTAACTTGTAGGGAAATCCGTTAGAAATTAGGTCTATAACTCGCAAATAGGACAAGGTTTACCTTGCAACATTGCTTGCTCCCTCAAGATTCGATCTTCTTCAGCCGTCCAATAGTTGCGTGTTTGAGAAACAGGTTGCATTATGATCAACGTCATAAGATCCACTCATATGATACAATCCAAGGAAATCCAATTATATATATATACATCCATATATATCCTTATGTAAATCAGACAATGAATGACTATTGTTACATAATCTGTGTAGGGGTCGGAGTCGGTCTTGAAAGCATAAAACGGACCCCAGCCCGACCCCGTCTCACCTCAGCAATTTACCTACCCAGGTAGTAGGGGAGGTTAAGCTTAAGTAGATTCGGACTGAATCCTTTGGCTGCGTCATATAGCACTATCGCAGATTTGAAATCTCGGAACAGAGAGACTAGGGTTTTCTCGGGCTGGGATGATAAGATCAAACTCAGGAACCGCAAATGCCGATCCTATTACAACGTGATCATTCATCGTTGATAATTTGTCGGTTTCACGCACATCGTTCGGCAAAATATAGGAACTGGTGCATCTTCATCTGTCTATGAGAAACAACACACCGAGAGTGCTTAGTCTACGGCAGCCGAAATAGGAAAATTACACTATACACTAGCGGGCTCGACGGTACTATTAACTAATCCTTAAAGTCTAGTAAACGTAGAGTGAGCTTCGTATATATCCGCTCGTGCGCGAGTAGAACTGCTAGGAGGTGGTTAGGGTTAGAGCGGCGAGAGCAGGGGGCTCGCCCAAGCTCGAGTATTAGTCAGTAATTATTTAGATCAGATCCTACGTCTTTCCTTGAAGAAACTATCTAAAATAGACGAGACTAGACATGTTGTACTGAGACTTCATGATATTAAGTCAAGTTCATATAATAGACACTCCCTACCACTTTAAAAGGTTCGAAATATTCTCTAACCAGCATCAGCGTTCCAATCCGCTTTCATTCCCCGTACGAATCCGGTGTCCTAAGCCTTCAGTTCGGTGGTAATCTCGATGGTGGACTCAGTCTGAGCGCTCTCCACGTCAGACAGCGACGAAGCACTGCTGTTCTTGTCTTGTCCTATCACCTCACCTTCCTCACACGATAGCATCGGCGAGATAGCTCTCAGGTGGGGCCCTTTCCAGACTAGCACTCCGACCATTAGAAGCGCGAAGATCGAGAAGAATGCGGCCATGCCGAACATCCATCCCACACCAACGGCGTCCATCCAGGGGGAGTAGATGAACCCGGTAGCAATGGCAAAGCCCATTCTCCACACATTCATTGCAATAGCCGCTTCATTGGCATCGTTCTTGTAACATTCAACAATGTAGTTGAGGCAGATGGGAACGGCAAGCATCGAACTGAATACGATGAAGAAGAATCCAAGCGCCAGCACCATGTAGTGGAGGTGATACTGCACTGCCGCTCCAAAGAGGCCAAGACCGATGGGTGCCACCAGGCCTGGGAGCAAGATGTTGTAGAGTCGATATTCAGGGTGCCAGACACCCTTACCGAACCGCCGTGAGACCCAAAGGGGAATGCGGTCTCCCACGCACCAGCCGACAATCTGGGTGACGAAGATTGCAAACCAAGCATCCATGGTAACTTATTGGCTTGTTAGAGTGTGCTGCCGATGTAGGGATAGTGGTTTTACTCACACAATGCGTTCCGCAGGGGGGTAAACCCGTATCCGCCTTCGGATATGGGGGCCTCTAAGAATATCGTCAACAGAACACTGGTCAAGATAACGAAAGCGAAGCTGATGAAGATGTATCCACCAGCAATGAGAGTGATTGGTGCCGTAAGGATAATGAAAGGCTTTTTCGCTTCCCGGGCCTAGCAACAAATGATGTCAGTGGGATATCGGTACATGCCCCATTTTCGAGCCTTACAGTCTGGCCCCAGCTTTCTCGCGGAACGATTTTGTGACCTGGAAGAAAGGTAGCCACTCGGTTGGCCCAGTAAGAGGTAGGTTGAGGTGGATATGAAGGAGCTCCAGGTGTAGTCGACCATCCACCTGTCTCCTCCACACAGAGGAAGACGAGCATAATTGCCAGACCACAAGGGATCAGTGTCCACCAGAATGCCCAAGTCCAAGAGGCAGAATTGACAATAAAGCCACTGATTGTAGGGCCGACATTGACCCCGAGGAGGATGCTGAGCTCGAAGATGGAAAAGACACGCCCACGTTGATGAAGATAGAAGATATCCACCTACAGAAGCAGAGAGGTTCAACAAGGAAACCTCGAGTAACAAAGGAATTCAAGATCTGACTTACTGCATAGGAAGGCCCAAGGACGGTTGGGATAGAGGAGGCCAGGCCTGATACCACACGAGACAGCATGAAGGGGATGTAATCATTCGGCCCTGTCATGAGCGCGGCCCAAATTTGGCAGACAAAGCCCACCACCAGACTCCAAAGCATAAGCGAACTCCGGCCAACCTTTCGTGCCAACGGCCAAAAAATGAGAGGACCAAACACCAGACCAACCACACAGGCAGTGACGGAGTATGAGAGATCCACTTCCGTGCGTCCTGGATAGGCTGCCGTCTGGACATAGAAGGTGAGTTGCTGGCTGTTGGGTAGGTTCATACCAGCAAAGCCTGCGTAGCAGATAACAAAAAGCATAAAATTCTTTTTGCGAGGGCTCCAGTTCTGCAGCAATTAGAGCAGGGTTAGTGAGAGGAGAGAGTGATATAGCGATTCAATTGTTCGAGGAGAGGGAACGTACCAATGGGTCTTTGGGGTCATCCGACGGTTGGGGAATAAGAACTATGGGATTTGCTCCCCCTGTCATCTTCAGACGGGGGGTAGGAGATACAGAATTCTGCTCCATTTTGTCAGCAACAAGAACTATTGTGAGTATATGCAATGGAGGTGAGACAGAGCTCTGTGAATGTGAGTTTATTCTGGGAAAGACTAGTCTAATTGTCGATACTCTCCAGACTTTATAGTAACACGAACAGTAGACTAGTATCACGTATTATCAATTCCTAGCTTCAACAGAGTCGAAGCTAAGACGAATAATCTTATTGTCCGAACCCGACGGACCCAGGAGGATGGTGTGCGACGTCGGGGCCGCGGGCTCACCAGCCAGTATTTACTCAGGTCTCAGCCCCCACCCCGAAAGGCGGCTTAACGAGTCCGCTTTGTATGGGGGCCATTTGAGATGTATGTTGGATGTGTTTATGGCAGTGAAAACTTGACTATGTGTGTTTTGTTTGCCCTACAAACTCCTACGATCTGACGCTGAACCTCACTTGGTCATCGGATAGATGGAGTTGGATACTCTTGTTACACGTGGGACTGCTTCAGAAACATAGTAACAGATTTCAGGAGGCAAAGAGCATAAAATAAGTATTCTAAGTTCAGTCTGGATAATGCAACAAGATTAACAAAATCGCCCGTCGCCTAACGCCTACCAAAAGCAATAGAAAGCCAAACCAGAGATGACAACGAAAATTACAGAAGACTTTGCCCACTAATTCGAGCTTCCAAAAACTTCACGAGCCAAAAACGCATATGCCTTGCGCAAGGCTTCACCTCCCTTGCCATCGGAGTCAGGATACAAGTCAAAGAGGTGAATCTTGCCCTCGACAAGAACCAGCTCTGAGCGCACTCCGCGCTGCTTCAGCGCCTCCACTGTCCGCTGACTCTGAGCCCAGGGAATCAGATCGTCCTCGGTTCCATGTACCACGGCGGTAGGCGTAGTATATCTGCCATGCGAGATCTGCGCATATGGACTGACCGCTTGAATATCCTTCTCCGAAGGTTGAGACTGCTCGAGCAGCGCCCGTCCCTGCTCAGCAGATACGTGACCTAAACCAGGCAGTCCACGAAGGAGTACTGGTAAGAACTGGCCCTTCCAGTTCATGTGCAAGACGATCCGTGAGCGCGGGTCCTGGGGCGCCATCCAGCCACCGACAGCCCGCATCTTGGCTGACACTTGGTATGCGGTGATCGGTCGGTCTTGAACCCCGGCGAGAAGATCATAGTCTGTAGACTGGGCTAACTCACGGCTGCTCTCCGGGTAGTTTGGATTTTGCCAGCAAGGATCTTCGTAGTCGGTAGGGCAGTAAAAGGCCAGGATGGCCGTGGGAGGTGCCAGGCCGCGCTGGACTGATGTGAATGGGGTAGTCATGGCCAAATGTCCGCCCGTGGACCAGCCAACTATGGCGATGCGGGATGCATCGATCTTCAGCCCCTGGGCGAGGAGCGGAAGATGGGGAAGGGCCGAACGGGCCCAGTGAAGGGCATCACAGACATCAGACATCGGTCCATCAACCAATGTAGTTTCTGGGCAGAGGCGATAGTCAATGGAGATGGGCAAGAAGCCCATGGAATGTAGTGTTGGCGTTTGCTTAGGACGAACATCCCGGCGGGACAGCATGACATGTCCACCACCGTGGATCATGAGGGCTATACGTAGTTTGTCAGCGACAAGTAAGTTCAGTGAAGTGAGGAGTGTCCGGCATACCAATAGGTCGGGGCTCCGAAGGTACGAAGGAGGGCGGATAAAATATGTCAGCAAACAGGGAAACACCTTCCTGCTGCTTGTAGCGAACAATCTCCGTTTTCGTCTCTGCATCTTGCGGTACTCGCTTAGGAATAAAAGAAGTATTCTCAGGTGGAGCATTGAAGCCAGTGATGATGCGCAAGGTGCGAGATTCGAGCGAGGGACCGTCGGTCCAGGAAACGTGCTGATAGCCGGCGCGACGCATGCTAGCATCCCAGAACCACTCCGACGCGAGGACATGCGGCCGTCCGTCAGAGAACAGCCACCAGCCGTCGAGAAGGCCAAAGACGAGATCGAACCAGTACATATTGCGGGTGAATTCGACTAGCGAGATAAATCCGTCCGGTCGCAGCATCTGGCGCATGTGCCGGGTGGAGATCTCCAGGTCTTTCGTTGCATGGATGCAGTTGGTCGAGATAACAGCATGGTACTTGCCCTGCAATTCCTCCGCAGGCTGCTTTTCGATATCAACAACCTGGAAGCGCATAGATGGGTGCTTTGACCCGAACTTGCGCCGTGCGGCGGCAACAAGAGATCCAGACAGATCGCTGAATGTGTAGTTGAATCGAATTCCCCGTCGTTCGAGGAGCTCGACTACATACCGTGTGGTACCACCCGTGCCAGCTCCGAGTTCCAGTATCTCAAAAGGCTCAGAGGATGATGACGAGGACGAGAATGCTTTGTCAATGAAGCTGCACAGCTGCTCCGAGATAGCCTCGTACATCGGCCCCTTTGCGTAAACTGACTCAAGAACGGTACGGTTTTCCCTGGAACGGAACAGAATATCCAATGGATCTGCGGTACCAATCAAGCATTCGGCCAATTTGGATCCAGTCATATGGAGGAGTTGATGCTCCATCGCATGCTGAGGTGCGCGGGCCTGGATTTGTTCATAAATCGTGATCGAGGGGGTTTGATCAACCGGTCGGTCGGTTCGAACCAGCTTACTGCCATCTGTGGCTATCAGTTGTCCGTCCCGGAGGATATTGTACAGCTGCTGGACAAGAGGCTCATGCTTGGGCAGGTAGGAGATAGACGGAAGATTTTCGCCTGCTGAGAGGCGGGCCAAATCACAAGTCAAACGTGTGAAGGCCTCGACCGTATATGCCAAAACTAGTCTCGCCTGGGTAGGATACACTCGTGTCCAAAAGTCAGCGAATCCAGTCTTCTGTGTGTGCTTATCGTAGTCGAAACGAATTGCTTCAAAAGCAGCTTGGGCTCCAATAAGAGGAGCGCCCTTGGCGCTCAAAGGCGCAGACAGCTTCGCGCTAGTTTGGCGAGCAAGCCCCGCAACCACTTGAGGGAGTTGGTATCCAGGAGAGGACAAAATATTCGAAGCTGCAGGTAGAACCTCACTGACTAATTGGACGAGGTCCTGGAATGTGGAGTCCTGGTCGAGCCGAGCCATATCCACATCCGCCCCCAGATCCTGCTTCATATCAGCAGCCAATTCCATGCAGAGCAAAGAATCCAGACCCAAGCTGGCCAGGTTGGCGTCCAAGGCAATGGGTTCGGGGCATTCTAGGTGGGTAGCCAAGAGTTTGCTCAGTTGCACGACTATCTTCGGACCCATAGTGGACTCGTCGGCTGTAGGAGGTGTGCTAGCTCCCGAGCTGGAACCTTGGGTTGATAGCTGTGCATCATCAAAGATATTGTCGTCTGAGTCAGTATCGGACGGTGTGGAGGTTCCCGGGGTAGAGACGAGCCCACCCCCAAGAAGCCGCTGGAGGGCGACAACAATAGCCCTGATGTCCTTCATGGTGGCAAACTCGTCCATAGTGATAGACACAGAGAAAACTGAATTTATCTCGCTGAGCACTTCAGTGACCATCAGAGAATCGATGCCAAGGTCATCAAAACTGGCATCATCCTGTACCTCTGCCGACGGCACTTCGGCGACCGTTTCGAGGAGAGATCGAAGCTCTGCTCCAAAGTCACGGCCAGGAGCTCGGGTTGGCGCTTTACCTTTGGAGCCTCGTTGACGAAGGCTCTTCGAAACCGTTGGTGGAGGTGAGGGAGCCACTGATCTGGGTGGTGAAGACAGGAGTGTCGACGGGCACCGGTCGTTGGCCCGAGCCAAGACTCGTGTCAGACTGGAGATTTGGACTTTGGTAAAGCGAGCACCGAAAATAAACAATATCAAGGACTTGGAAGCCGCATCACAAACATAGATGTCGTTAACAAGTTCCCTATTGCTCACAGGCCGGTAGCTGGAGTAAACAAGCCATGAGCCATTGTCTTCAATCGGGGCACGCGCTTGAACGCGGTCCACCTTGGTGCAGACGTAAACCTCGTTTTCCTGCAGCTCTGTGAGGCAGTTGACGTGAAGGCCGGACACTTGGATGAAATTGTCAAGCGCCCGTGGGTCCATTGCAGCCTTGGTCTTGGTAGCATCATGGGAAGGCCCTGGGGGAGGGAGTTCAGGCAGCTTGACCCGACCGACAACCTCTCGCCCCAAGGCATGTACGCTTCGCACTCCCTTGTAATAGGGACGGTAGGTCACGACCTTGCCGAATGCTTTGTAGACTTGAGATCCCTGAAGTGCCTCAGCATGCGGTTCCTGTGGGATACGCATATATCGCTCTGGGCCCAACAAGCTCTCGACACGAGCGTAGTCGTCTGCCAAGCGATTCGCATCATTGTAGAAGCGGACTATTCCCGCGGCGTGGCGATCGATGCTTTCCGGTGTGGCTGCCCGATGACTGGCGACAGTGAATTTCCAAACTGGTGTGTTAGGGTCAACGCGTCGAAGTTCAAGCTGAATACGCCGGTCTCCCGCTCCCAATGGCGCCTGAATTTGCAGGTCCTCAATGCTCGGCACTCCACATTCTTCTCCTGCGAGTTCGCAAGCAGCTTGTGCAGCCAGGTCAATGTACAAGGGAGCCGGGCATAATGGCTGTGCAAGGACAGCATGTCCCTCCACGAAGAAGCGGTACTGCTCGCTGGCGGGATCGATCGCAAACTCGGCGTCGTTCCCGTCGGTGTCCAGGTACTTGCTCAGGGAGAGAAGCACTGGCTCAGAACGGGGCGTATCAGTCACACTCATCACAGGTGGCGTTACGGTTTCCTGGGAAACTGTGTCCTTCCAGTCCAACCAGTGCCTGTTCTTTTCGAATTGGTACGGCGGCAGGGGAAGGTCCAAATATTGAGCACGGTTACGACGGTCGAAGGGCCAGAAGGCAACCTCGACTCCTTGATTCCATAATTTAACGGCGATCTCAGCTAGGTTTGACAGTCCAGAAGGATCACGAAGCTCAACAGACTGGTAGACTTGCTCAGAGGGATCGAGTAGTGCACTGCGGACCATGCCGATGACCCCAGAGCCTGAGCCTGCTTCGAGCCAGACAGACGGGCCCATTCGGCCAGCCAATCGTTGGACGGCGTGGGAGAAGTAAACCGGAGTGCGCGTATGTTCTGCAATGCGAGCGGCAGTGATGTTCGACCAGCTGCTGCCCTCCGAGCATGTTTCGATCGGAATGCTGGGAGTATTGAAAGTGAGAGACTTAGAAAGTTCAGTCAAATCGGACAGAAGTGGCTCGGTAAAGCGTGAATGGAAGCCATGGGTTACTACCAGTCGCTTGTATTTTATGTGGCCCCATTTGGTATCACTTCGTTGAAGAAGCTGCTCCACGCTGTCAATTGCCGTCGCAGATCCCACAATGACATGGCTTTGGGGCCCATTATAGCACGCAATTTCAAGCTGGGCGTCGACAGCTCCGATGATTGCAGTAACCTGATCTAACGATGCCTGCAGAGAGACCATGGAGCCTCCCTCCGGTCCCCAGTGGCTGTCCATCAAAAAAGCACGCCCTGTGACAAGCCGAAGTGCATCCTTCAGAGACAAGACCCCACTGACGCACAATGCAGTCAATTGACCAAAGCTGTGCCCGATGACAGCGGCGGGGGCGACATTGCTATCCATCCAGGCATTGGCACTGGCATACTGGATAGCGAAGAACAGGGAATGAAGCAAGACCAAGTCTTCGACAGGCTCGGTCTGGAATATGGCGGGGTATATACTGGCAAGATTGAGCGATTGGATGACCTCATTGCAGGCATCCAAGTGTCGTCGCAGTGGGAGAGAGGCCTCAAAGATCTGTCGACTCAACCCAACTTGCTTGCTAGTCTGTCCACCAAAAACCAAAATGGGGTTCCGCGAGACAACAGATCGCTGCTGCAACTGTGGGCTATCCAGTAACCGTATCAATTCCGACATAGAGGACACGGTCGCAATAGTATCTAGTGGCAATGATTTATTCTGCTGGTGTGACAAGTGGAAGGAAACGCTCGCCAAAATTTCACTCTCGCTGTACTGACGGCGCCATTTCTGGATATATTTCAGCATGGATTGGCAGTAAGCTTGCATACTAGTCTCTGAGTTGGCTGTGAGGCGAATGGGGTATTTGGGCAGGGCACAGACTGTACCCGCGTGTTTGGTCGGAATCGGAGCGTGCACAATCATGGCTGCGTTACTTCCAGCTGCTCCATAATTGTTGATACAGGCAATCTGCATGGGCGCCTTCCATGGAGTTGTTGATCTGGGGATAGCAAGATTATCTGGTTCCAGTGCGGGAATCTTAGGGTTGAGTTGGGAGTGATTGGCCTGCACGGGAATCGTCTGGTGGCGCATCATCAGCAGGGTCTTGATTAAGGATGCGGCGCCAGATGCGCCCTCCAGATGCCCAATGTTACCCTTTATGGAGGCAACATGTACTGGATTCTTCCGGGTGACTCCACCAAAGACCTTGCGGATACTGGACAGCTCGATTGGGTCTCCAACGGGTGTGCCCGTTCCATGCGCTTCCACATAAGAGACGTCGTGGGGATGGATCCCAGCATCAGATGCAACTTTCTCATACAGGCTCACCTGAGAGTCTGCGTGTGGCACTGTGATGGGGGTGTCGTTGATATTTTGGTTGACAGCGGTAGCGCCAATGACTCCCAGGATTCGGTCTCCATCGGCCTGTGCAGCTGCAAGAGATTTCAACACCACCAGTGCTACACCTTCGCCTCGACAGTACCCGTCTCCCTTGGCATCAAAAGGCTTGGTGGGACCAGTGGGGCTTAGGAATGAAGCCCCTGCAAGATTTTGATAGAAGAAGGGGCTCGTGTAGAGACTGGCTCCTCCCGCTAGTGCCATGGAACACTCTCCTGTTTGGATTGCCTTGCAGGCAGCATGGATGGCCACGGCGGACGAAGAACAAGCAGTATCGTATGTGATTGAGGGTCCTGTCCAGCCAAAATAATGGCTGATCTTACCCGTCAGGAAGGCACGCAGGGTTCCCAAGCTGGAGAAGGCGTTCGGAGCATGGGCCGCTACGTTGTCATTGTAGTCGGATGCACACACTCCGACATAGCAGCCGATATCCTGCGGCGCATCTTTAGGCAGTGAGAAATATTCTGACGATTCAAGCGCTTGATAGGCCACTTCGAGGAGTAGACGTTGCTGGGGATCCATGGTAGCCGCCTCACGGGACGATTTCCGGAAGAAACGGTGATCAAAGCAGTCAATACCTCGGACAAAATTTCCCCAGAATGGAAGCTTGTTATCCGGCGAGCGTCGTAAGTTCTGACGACGAAAGCGCTCCTCGGGCATTTGCTCGCACTGAGATGAACCATCGCAGAGGAGCTTCCAAAAGTCCTCCAAGTCGTCTGCTCCGGGGAAACGACCGCCCATTCCCACAATAGCCACGCCATTCTGTGGCAGTGACGGCTGTGTAGCAGTGCTCATTCCCGGTTTCAGATTCCCGATTTCCAACAACGACTTGGGCATCCGCTGTAGAGTGGTATTAGGCACGGCTCGCAGGACGGAAGAAGGAATGCAATCGACATTGCCAAATTGAACAAAATGAGGTTGTTGATGGCCAGACGCCATGCTGACATCTGCAACAGCAGTGGAGATAGTCGTATGCCAATTGCATGTCTGAACCAGGATTGCATCGATGATAATGTCGTGGAGAAAGGAAGTTGGTGGAAATATCTGTCCGTCATTCCCGAGGATAGGCACCACGAGCTCTTGCGCGCGTGGCAACTGTAGTTCAGGAACTCTTGCACATAACCCCTTCAGCTTATCTGCAATAGCCTGGTAATCCACCGTATGAAATCGACCTCGCATATCGAGTGAAATGCCCACTAGCTTGTGAGCTTGAATGGCCTTTGTTAAAGTGGCCATTGAGGTCAGAGGCACTGTGACAGTGGCAGCATTGCCGTCAGGGTACACGGAGATGTATGCCTGCACATTAAAAACAACAATTAGATCAAGCCACAGAGAGGTACCAAAGGTAGGAAATATCCACATACACCTGGAATCTGATCAATGGATCCAAGGAGCTGTGTTTTGCCCCCCTCATTTGACCACCTGACAACCATGCATCCAGTCTCAGCTGAAAATTGGCCACGAGCGTCTGCATCGACACAGGCACCAATGGCAACTGCCAATTTCAGAACTGCTCTGACCCATCGGGCCAAATCTCTTTCATCACGGCTCACGCCAACTGCAACAGCACTGAAAAGGCCGGTACAGAAACCCTGGGTTCCTCCTTTGGGTCGTACTTGCTCAAGGACCTGGGCATGAGAGGATATGTTATTGGCGGATCTTGCGTCGATGTACAAGAGGTACTGGGCTAGATGCAAGATAACTGTCAAAGGTGTGATCACTGTGCTCGGCAACTGGTCGATCTGAATTTCTGTCTCTGGCTCTTGGGGGCCAACCAGGCTAAGAAGTTGCTGGATGTATTTGGCACCTGGGATACCATTCAGTTGTAAGTCCGATGCTGTCAGAGTTGACCACACAGTAGCAACATCCCTGACTGCGTCCCAAAGGGGCTTTAATGGTGTGTGAGAGTCGGATCCAAGTAGATAGCGAAGTTGAGATAGTGTTTCTTGGGACGGAGTTGATGACTGAGGTCCGAAGAGTAACATGGATGGGCTTGTGAATGACATGTTTGCAATGTTGAATCTTGCAGGGCTTTGAAGAATTCTATTCTATCGCCTAACAAGGTATTGTCTATTATATCAATGAAAGTGACCTTTCCACATAGTGTCTAGATTGTAACCAAGACATCACTGAAGGAGTAGACGGCCCGGGACGCACCGCCCCCGTGGAGACTAGCAATATAAGCACTAAACATGAAGATTCCGAAAGGATTCAAGCTGTCACGTCGGACTATTACAGCCGGTGGGATATACGAGGCAAAATGCCTTCGGAGTAAGCCTGACAGGATCGGTTATTGACCCTGATGAGCCACAAAGCGGCTCGGTATGTTCCAGCCACAACCATGCTGAGTTGTCTTCGATTTGGCTACGCGCCATCGATCTAAAGCCTTGGACCCAGTAGCACATGGCTTATCTCGGCAAAGCGAGGAGCAACATGGCAGTAGACCTGAGACCCCAAAACCCCAATGGGTCGGGTCAGATATTAGTCAGCAAACCCATGGGTTCAAATCAGATCCCACAAAGAGCAGATGCATGGGCATATGAAATGGGGAGTACTCCGTGTTGTGTGAGATAAGGAAACGAGTCTCTCATATTCTCATCGGCCCGTCATTATCAACCTGCACTCCGTGCACGTGGCGCGCCGTTGAAGAATGGTGCATGGATGCGGAGAATGAGCCGATAGCCTTGTGAATGGTTGGAGGCTAGTGGAAATGACTGCATTGCGATAAGAGAATTTGTCTTCATGGAGGGCTTTCGCTACGTTAATACCATTGTATCAATTTCCTAAGCTTGAATGCACGAAAAACAGAAAAAAAATTTTTTTACCAAAGGAATTATCAGCTTTTTAGAATTCACACTGTCAAAGAAAGAGGCAGACAGAGCGCGGATATATTGTCAACGCGTATTGAGTTACATATATGATATTACGGCCCACGTTCAAGCTGAGCACAAGAACCTCAAACAATCATCACAATTTTGGCTAATGCCCCCTCTTCCTCCATCAAGCGATGGGCCTCCACAATCTCCTCTAATGGAACGGTCTTGATTGGCAACCGAATCTTCCCTGTTGCCAGATCCCGAGCAATCTTCTCAATGGGTGTTTTAAGTACGGCCTCCGTGGTGCTCGCATAGGTGGTCAGCTTAACGGAGGTCGGTATCGACGCCATGGGCGTAAACTCCTCAAAGGTCCATTTATTGCCAGCTATACCCGTCATGCAGACAGTACCACCAGGCGCCACACATCGCAGAGAGTCGTCTAGCGTGGTTACCCCAACCAGCTCAAGGATTTTGCTCAACGGAGCAAGTTTCTGGACCTCGGCCAATATTGATCCGCCATCGATAATGACGTTCTCGATACCGAGGCCACGTAAGAACTCTACACGTGCCGGGTTCCGCGTTGTCGCGGTGACAGAGACCCCATGCGATCGAGCAAGCGCCGCGGCCGCCAACCCCACGCTAGTAGTTCCGCCCCGGATCAGCAAGTGGTCGCTGGGGACGAGCTCGAGACTGGTGAACAGGGATCCCCAAGCCGTCTGCATAAGCTCGGGAAGAGCGCCCAAGATGTCCCAAGGCACGGGCTGATCGGGGCCAAACGCAGCGGTGGCATTGACGCGTCGCACTTGGGTGGCCGGCACTACTGTGTATTCGGCATATCCACCATCGAAGTTACGGCCCATGCCGCCCATTGCAGTGACAACGACCTCGCCAGCTTGGAAGCCTGAGTCCGGCGCTGCATCGTCGACAAGTCCAGCAGCTTCGATACCTAGAACCCGCGGAAACGTTACACCGGGTGAATGGCCTTGACGAGTGTATACTTCTGATCGATTAAGCCCAAAGGACTTGACGCGTATGCGCACCTGGCCCGCTGTGGGTGTTGGTTTGGGGACCGTCTGGAGCTTCAACACCCCAGGGCCACCTATCTCGTGCATCACAACAGCGCGCATCGTGTCAAAGGACATAGCGGCGCCAGCTGTAGGAGAGGTAATTGTGTCAGCGATGGTAGTGGTGGTAACCGTGGTCTGATTATGTGGGAGCGGCGATAGCCAAAAGTACGAAACGAGGACAGCAATCGCAGTCAAAACAAGAATGCCGCGTTTGCGAGTAGAAATCGCGGACATAAACTTTTCAAAGTACCCATCTCTGCCTAGGTAGTCATATCATGTCGATAGCTCCCTGCCCAGTGTCGACATTCGGAGTCGGCGTTGGCCCGGTGGGATGCCGATCACGCACCAATCATCACGGCTTCTCGGGGAGTTCAGTTAATGCGGTCTAGTTTCCGGCGGGATGTTCATTTTCTGACTTTGGTCTAGTCTATCTATTTTGATTGGATATAGGTCCAATTAAGCACTATGAATGGCGATCAGTGGTTCCAGGGTTGCTGTGTCAATTTGGAAAGCTATAGAGCTGTACTCGGGTCCGCTAAAAAGACCAGGATATGCCCTCGCGCTTTCGGTGTTCTTCGGGCTCCGTCCTCAAGCCCGACCCCGTACGTCTGCTAGACTATACTTAAGAAGACTATTTCTCTAGCTAAGAATCACGATCGAGGTCTATATCTTGTTTAAGCTTTTTTAATCTTCCATATTACCGTGCTTGGACACGATCAGCTCCGTTCGAGTCACACGAGCCCCGAAATCGATCTCCTGTCGAACAGCGAATTCCCGACGAAACGCCATAATGAGCCTTCCCCAGGACAGCAACAGCTCGTCTTCCTCTAGCGCCGATTTGGAGAAGCACAATCCTCAGGAGAATGCATCTTCCGATGTCGACAGCAAGGATCCCTCTGTCAATGATATTCTGACTCCCAAACCCTCTGGCCCCAATCCAGCAGACTTTCCAGATGGCGGCCTACGGGCGTGGATGGTTGTGGCAGGGTCCTGGTGCTGCATGTTTGCGTCGATGGGCTGGATCAATTGTATTGGAGTCTTCCAAGACTACTATCAGCGTAACCAACTTGCGTCATACTCCCCGTCCTCGGTCGCCTGGATCAGCTCCACTGAAACCTTCATGATGTTTCTCGGCGCCCCTTTTTTCGGCAAGCTTTTCGACAACTTCGGCCCTCGATATATGCTCATGGTCGGCACAATCTGCCACGTCCTGGGACTAATGATGACTAGTCTGGCCTCTGAGTACTATCAGTTCTTCTTGGCCCAGGCAATCCTCAGCGCCCTAGGCGCCAGCGCGATTTTTTACGGTTGTCTTAACCCTATTGGTACCTGGTTTATGAAGAGGCGCGGCTTGGCCTTCGGCATCATCGCTGCAGGATCCTCCCTGGCAGGTGTCGTTCTTCCGTAAGTAACTTGGCTTAATGTTATCCAGAAATGTCTCCAATTGACGGCCTCTTTAGGATCATGATTGACCGGCTCATTCCAACTGCTGGATTTGCTTGGTCCATGCGTGCAGTGGCATTCTTGTTCTTGGGCCTGCTTATTATCGGCAACCTGACCATTCGGTCTCGTCTGCCTCCGAAGCCCACCCCCGTCGCCGCAAGCCAGTTTCTGGTCCCCTTCAAGGAGACTACGTTCCTCTTCGTCGCTCTTGGAAGCTTTTTCTTCTTCTGGGGAGTTTTCCTGCCGACCAATTTCATCATTCTGCAGGCGCAGCACGAGGGCATGTCTTTGAATCTCTCTGGCTATCTCCTGGCTATCTTGAACGCTGGCAGGTACGTCATCCTTTCCCATTCCGATGGTTCACTGTCGCCGTATACTAATGTTCATTATAGTGTGTTCGGCCGTATTCTCCCTGGCTGGCTTGGAGACCGATTCGGTCGCTTCAATGTCATGATTATCACCACATATGTCACCAGTATCATTGTTCTAGCACTATGGATTCCAGGTCATGGCAATGTTCCCGTCATAATCTTCTCGGCTATCTTTGGATTTACCAGTGGCACCTTCGTGAGCATGATTCCGGCTATTGTGGCACAGGTTACAAAGGATGTTCGGACTATCGGCGTCCGTAACGGCTCGAACTTCTTCATCATCAGTATCGCCGCCTTGACCGGAAATCCAATTGCTGGAGCTCTGATTGCACATGATGGAGGTGGCTATTTGTACCTGCAAATCTTTTGTGGACTCACAATGTTCGTAGGCGCTACTTTCTTCCTAGTGGCTCGTGTGGTGCAGGTTGGTTGGGTCTGGAAGCGCATTTAAGGCCACTATGTTGCTCAATGGTATGGTAATGGCAGGTCTCATATAGGGGGATTGGGTTATTGCCGCGGTCCCCGGTTTACGTATCTTTGGAAATTTTCTCATGACGGATTATAATTATCGCAATACAGAATAGACTAGAAGTCAAAAGAATGAATCACGGTATCAACGCAAGAACGCACATTCATAGTTATAATGCAAGGATATAAACCAGAAAGCCTTAGTAGAAAACAGAAAGGAAAAGGAAGAGAGAAAATACCTAGGTACAGAAGAAAATCACTTGAGAAGCCACTCGTAAAGTATGCCAGTATTGTCTAAAGGGGACAATGGATCTATCCTAGGATTTGAAGTATTTGCAACGCTACCCTCAGATTTGGGTGATATCCCATCCCATGACGTTATTACAGATCATAAGCCAAAAACAACCGCACTTTATTCCTAAGATTTGGTGTATTACGGGGCACTGTGCTATGCTTTTTTGTCTATGTCTCTTGACTGCTGCAGCTATGGCCGGATTTCATATTCCCGAATCCGACTCCGACTCCGCAATGGTTGGCAGCAACTTCGACCTCTTTCTTCCGGGGTGGACCAATACCGTATACATGGGTCTTGTCATACCTGATACCTAGGTAAGTGGATTTGTACTCGGGTCTTGAGGTCCTTGCGTTACTTGATCGTATGATGCCTTTGGATTATCCTCACCCCGATGGATCGGTTCATGACCTGGCCGAGCATGACGAAGTAAGCATAGCTGACTTCCGTAGTCTACGACCGAACTTCAAAGTTGGTGGGTGTTATTCTAGATGACTATGAACGCTGGAATACTCCGTATACTCGGGCCCTTTCTTCGGAGCACTAGCTGGGCTATCTCACGGAGGAAACGTAGTAAAGGAATGTGTATATATACCGGTACAATCTCAAAATAAAAGAAAAGCCACCATTCTACAGAAACCTACAATAAGAAACCACAAGGCAAAGAAAAACCAAAACCCCAATCAAACAACGCAATCTTCGCAACAACACACATCAACATGGCTCCTGGACTTATTGACCCTCCGAACGCCAGCGCCACCAAGCATGCGATCCCTGTGAGCAAGCTTGAGCAAGTTATTCCTAAACTTGAAATTCCTACGGTTGACATCTCAAGCTTCCTTGCCAACCCAAACTCCGAAGAGGCACAGAAGATCATCCCCACCGTGAGAGCAGCCTGCCGCTCCACCGGATTCTTCCAGGTCATTGGCCACGGAGTCTCCGCCGATCTTCAGCAATCCGTGTTTGAAGGAGGCAAGAAGTTCTTCTCCCTACCATTCGAGACCAAAAAGGCCCTCGACTCTAAGACCGTCCGCGGCCACCGCGGCTACGATGTGCTCGCCTCGCAGTCCTACGAAGCGGGTATAATGCCCGATCTCAAGGAAGGCTGGTACGTCGGCGAAGACCTCCCAGACGAGGACCCGCGCGTTCAGGCAGGCCGGTTCTTCATGGGCCGCAATGTCTGGCCGGACGAGGCCAAGCTAGCACACACGGACTTCCGCACGCCCTGCGAGCAATACCACCAGGCACTTAGCGCCCTTGGCAAGCAGATAATGAAGCTTATTGAGCGCACGCTGCCATATGGCTCGGGTATCTTCGATGACTTCGTGTCCAACAACCCCATCACGCCGATGCGGATCCTGCACTACCCACCCGCCATTTCGACTGAGCAGCCCCAGTACGGAGCCAGCGCACACACTGACTTCGGTGCCATTACTCTGCTGCTGCAGGATGAGAGCCCGGGCCTGGAGGTCATGGACTCCCGCACTGGAGCTTGGGTGCCTGTTCCGCCTAACCCGTCGGCATATGTGGTCAACATTGGTGATATGCTCAGTCGTTGGACGCGCGACGAGTACGTCAGCAGTGTTCACCGGGTGATTAACGGTAACCCTTGGGATCGGTATAGCATTGTCTTCTTCTTTGATGGTAATGCGGATACCGAGCTGCGGGCGCTGGATGGTAGCGAGGCTAATGAGCCGAACCCATTGACACCCGAGAAACACATGCTGCGCCGTATTACCGAGAGTTATGGCAAGAAGTGAACGTTCTGTTACAACATACCGAGTCGTTTCGGACAATGTGGAGGATTGAGTACCGTCGAGTATTGGACTTCTGTTTTCTTTTTGTACCTTAGAACTGCTACGTTCCTTGTCGCTCTCATTTCATCTCTAGTGATTGCTTCCCAATAATATTGATTTTTATGACGTTGCAACTTGCCTTGGCCAATGAATTGGGGGGAAAAGATGAGTAACAGCCCTGTGAGCCATCGTTAAAAGGACCTCAACTGGTTGCTCAATACTAGGCATGTTAATTACTAGTGATATACGACACAAATATTATCAGATATTATTCATAGAACAAATACTTGCACTTTCCTGAGGGAAAGGTTGGTTAATAGGTTATCGTGTTCATTACTCAAGGCATCAATCGACTCAACGCTGCCGAGTACGGCAGTGTATAGCCGCTGCGCCATATATTATTTTGCCAGAAGAACATTTCATAAATCTAGCATATATGTATTTTATTGACTATAGAAGTCGATAGAAATTAATAGTGTAGATAGTGACACTTGAAGTTGATGTTGGAGGAATTGAGATATATAATGTTATATATAGCAAAGTTCCCTCCAAGCCTTTTTTAGCCCTATTTTACTACCTATCTAACAAACTGAGAAGTTGAAGAAAATATCTATATAACTAGACATACTACCTAAGGAAACTACTAAAAATGACCACTGAAAAGACTTATATAAAGACTATCGGAGAAGTCTACCTAAGCAGACCACTAAGAAGACTACGGTCGTATAAGCGGCCGACTATTCTTATTGTAGAAATTGACCCTATAGCAGTTCATAGTTATTGGGGGGATCAATTACTAGAATTTGTAGGTAATAGAAGCCAAATTTAATATGGAAAAATACGATATGGCGCACTAGCGGCTATACACTACTAGCATGTGTCAACCTCTGATAGCAAACCTCACTGGCCTCTAAATACTTTATTAAATTCCAGGAATATACTGAAATCAAAAGTGAAAAAATGTTGAATTGGAATCTATAAAATGAAAATGCGAATGTAGTATCAATCGCATGGTAACAAAAAGAAAGGTCAGAATCAAACAGTACCCCATTTCCTACAGGCCCGGGCATATTCACTAGCACACCAAGAACACTCAAGTTCACCCAGGACACACGAAAACGAAAACATTAAAGAATCACCAGCTTCTTAAGCAGAAAAAGAACGACTGTATTTCCAAACACCCGCCCCCACTGCTCCGGCAGCGGCTTCCATGATATCCCGGGGGCTAGATGCCTCGAGAACATTCAATAGCTTGCTAAGCATCCAAAATACCGCAGCTCGATCAGCAGCAAAGTTAAATAAGTTGGTCATAGCCCATTGCGAAGCCGGGAATTGTTCAGCTGTCGAGAAGTTGAATGGTGCCGGATCGAGCCCTGTGCCATTGTTGATCACCACGCCTGCGCCGGTGGGGAAGTTGGTGGGTAAGCAGAACCAAAGGCACACCCAAAGCTTGCCGAGAGCCTTGAGATAAGCTGAATGATAGGAAGAATGGAAGTTAGATATGCCGCAGAATCTCGCCAAGGGCAGAGTACTCACCATTGCCCGTGATGCCAAATTTCTTGCCATAGTGGATAACCAGATCCTCAAGCATGATTACTGTCGCCTGACCCAACCAGAGAGAATACATACCGCCAGTGCTGCGACCAATAAGGTAAGCGCCGGCATGGTGTGTGAGGGCGGAAATGGAGAAGGAGATATAAAGCTGCGCATATTTACGGACGAGGGATCCCTTCGGAAGTTGCAGGAAATCGACCGCAATCCGGGACGGTTCGACAACCGCACGGCGAAGATGTCCATGCCAGCATTTGCTATTGAGGAGTAAGCAGAGATCCGGCTGTTTCAGCTTAGCTGGAATACTCACCCCCAGAATTGTCGCACACTCCACATCTCGTTATTGAAGGATCCCATCAGATTGGGCCATTGCTCCGGTCGGCAGATTCCCAGCGCTGTTGTGAGAGTCGCTACAAGATAGAAAGGCATCTGAAGTCCGTTGTATGTTTCCAAAGCACCTAACCAACCCAGCACAGTGCGCACCAGAGGACCCTCAGAGAAGATATTGGGCATGGGACCTCCCTTGCTCAATGTATACCAAGCAATACAAGCATGGATAAAGTCCACACTGAGATAAGCGAAGAGAAACCGATGAAGAGTGTGTCGCAGAAACTTGCTGAAACGGGATTAGTACAGCTGCATGATATACATCACTTGAAAGGTCTGCAACTTACAGACGAGGATAACCAGGTTCAACAGCTTTAGGAACATTAGAGACCTTCCAGTTCCAGCCAATACCTCGAGTCGAAGACCATAAGCTCATACTCCATTGCAATCGCTCAAGCAAAGAGCCGTTGGCGTTTGGACCAGTGGTTCCATCATGGATAGTGACGTTGGCATCTTTTGCATCTTTCGTGACCATAACAGGGGTGGTGGGAGACCCATCTTCTTTCACATTGACCAGGAACAACCGGTCAGGGACCGGGGCTGGAGAAACCTTGACATCCCGGTTGACATTTTCCTCGACAGCGTGCTTCCTGGCTTTGAGAGAAGTCTGTGCTTCCAAATCTTGCTTGCTGGATCTCACATGGGTTTGACTATCGGACACCCGCCAGAAAGATTGACCAGGGTCGCGGAATACAGCAAAATCAAGCCACTTGATGATGGCACCGGTCATGAAGACTCCGGTAAGAAAATCCAGACCGACTTCGCCAGTGGTGAAGCTTGGTGCGTGAAGGAGAAGACCTGCAAAGACTGGAGCTCCGACCGCCAGCCGAACCCATCGGCTTTTCGTCGGAAGAAAGCAAGTGAGTGTACCAGTAGCGAGGAACGAGGGGAGGAACCAGCCTGGCATTGGTTGCCGGAAATCCAGTGGAGTGACCAGAGGTGAGAACGGCTGGCCTAGCATGGTGACGAATGGGATGGATCTGTGGTGCGATCAATTGTAGTCCAAGCCAGGCGCCGGTTGCTGAATGATCGAGCAGACAGGACGCCAACACTGCCGTTATATACCCTTCCAGTAGGCAAAGAGCCATCAGGAGTTGCAGTTTGAAAAGACTGGGGCCGACTCCGTTGCACCATCGTCGTTTGGCCGAAGCCTAGGCGGCCATCCAAACCCGAGTTGACAACGGCAGGGCCAAACACGTGGAACCCATGCTGAAGGAGAAGGAAAAACGGATTCAGGATCTCCCAGACTCGGGTCTTGATGTATACTGAAATTAGTTGCCAAAATGTGGAACTAATTGGGTTGATTGGGGGCCAGAATGCACTAGCGCAGAGGCATAAGACGGCTTCGGGCTTGCGCACTCAGGTCCTCGGGACCCCCATTCGCAGGGCATACCGAGGTTAGACAAACGACACCTAGAGAAAGTAGTACCGATGACGAAAAATAATTGTATAATCGTGCAACTTATGTATTTTCGCTACTAATCTTAAACCGGATGAACGGGTGACGAGAGCTGCACAATCAAGAGTATTGCACATAGCAGCCCAAGTATCACCCCCAGTTTTCGCTATCTGCCTTTAAGAATGTGCCTCGAGCATACTGGGTCTGGACAAATTGATCCTATGGATTCGCAGTGACTTGCATAAAAAGTTTGACTGGGGGGATCTCACTATAGAACCTATGATTCATCCTACTTTCGCCTGGACAGTGTTATAGCTGAACAGAACTAAAAATGTTCGAAAAGGCAATAATTGAAGTTATTATTGTTTAGTTGGTCACCTATAGCGTGTGATCACTGCTCTGGTTTCAGCTTGTTCTTAAATTATTTCGACGGTGCTTTTTTCCCTGTTCCATCAAACAGCTGGTACAGCCCTGCTTTACTATGGTTTTGCCCTGGCCCGTAGAAGAATTAGAATTGGCCGTCTGTATCGAATTTTTTTCTTGGGCGGGATGATCGTATCAACTAGATCGTGAACACCCTGCCCCAGCTTACTGAGACTTTCCGCGATAGTATTCCAATAGGCCCCTGGGACCTTTGAAGATTTTGCCAAATATGCAGATGACTTTCCTGCGCGTGGCCCACCTTATCCATGGCGGACCGGCAACTTGTCGTATTCGGACCTCTATATCATAACCTCGCCTCGGTTGGCAGGGCGCGTCACCAGTAACCATTATCTCCGGGTGTACCCAGCAGTCGTCGCAGGCTTAGATTCTTGATGGCGTTCAACACATATTCTGGCTTGCCTCGTGTGAACAGCTCGGTGTCGGGTTGGGCCTGAACCTAGGGCGACGGCGTTGATAGTGATTTCCTTAGGGCGGAGGTCGTGAGAAGAATGCGGACCATCTGTTCGATGGCGCCTTTTGTGGAGGCGTGGCAGAGTTCGTGGAAACCAGGATGATTCGGGCGCCGAGGCGAAGGCGAGGGACGGCATTCTACAATAATCAACCATCAGCACAGGAACCCTTTCGTCATATCCTCTGCAAGTGGATTTTCTGCAATATCCATATTTTCGACCTCGTACCTGCATAAAAAGGAAAACCGTATGACCTTTACATTCCGAGCCATACAGTCGTCAAAGTCTAGCTCCGAGGTGTTCGCAAGGTCTCGCACAGGCAAGGAACCGGTGTTGGCAATGACGATGTCAGTTTGACCGAACATGTCCACTGTACGACAGATCAGCTGATCGCTGTCGGCCACACTACCTAGGTAGTAGCATTGCTCTTGACCGCCAGGGCGTTCTGCTCTCCGATTGTGTTGACCACCTCCTGGGCGTTTTGGTTATTGGAGAGGTACTGGATAGCCACCTTGGCACAAGCGCGCACAAGACGAAGAGCTGTGGCTTTTCCAATACCCTTGGACCCCCCGGTAATGATAGAAACTTGCCAGCAATAGCAGCCATAACTTCAGCCGCTGACAGGGCAGAACGAACTAATGCCACCAGGCGGGTGAGAAGAGACGATATTTCAAGTCATTCGTTTGCGTGGAATGAGAAGAAAATACTATACGGGCCCCGCGCTAACCTTGGAACAACTGCATCCCACCGGAAGCTCAAACAAGCAACAAGCCACTTCACTAAAGGCCACCAATGAGATGGCTAACCTATCCGCCTCTGTGTAGGAATCTTGAGTGGTTGTCTACGTGGAAACTCACGAATTCAGCAATTTACGAAAAGTAACGACGTGGTGGAAAGATACCACAGTGAATCGGCAAACCGGCAGAAGTTCACAGCGATTGACCGATGGACCACCTCTACTCGTCAACTTCGAGATATTTAAAACTCATTCCTAAGTAAACCCGGCCAGAGACAGCTACACAAATTTACGGACCCTATGCCAGATACAACAATATAATAGGTATGTCGATGGTGATAGAGATTAATGCAGACTTATTGAAGGGCAGAAAGACACTAAGAATGCAGCGAAAGATCTAACAAACCAACAAATTCGAACAAACATCATATCATGACAGGTACCCCGAGGTACGCCAGTATTGCACATAAGAAGCGATCACATCTTCTGGGACCGCGTCGACCTGTCGCAATGTCTCTGATCGCTTTCTGGCCTCATCGGTCGCCATGATGACCGAACCGCAGGCCATGCGCCTGAAGTCCCGTCTAAAGAACTCATCCAGTTTAAGGACGGGGTTCTGCCCTGGTCCACCCTTCGAGCCCAACTTTACCACCCGATCCAACCAGTCATTGAATGGAAGGAACTGGGAGATATCCAACTGGGATCCTAGTGTGACCAACACGTCACTCCATGATTGTCGCACAGGATTCTCGAGGTGGTAAGCCATTGAAGGCTGTTGCTCACTGAACGCCAGGTCGATCAGAACGTTGGCTGCATCGTCAACTGGAATCCAAGATAAAGTCTAATATCAACTATGGTTAGCGTTGTTCGCAAGGGACGGAAAGAATTGAGTTTAAACTGACTCCTTGGAGTTGCGGCAATGCACGCGCAAATTGCGAGGATTTGACCAGTGCAGGGAAATGCTCCTGGGCGTTCCAGAATCCGGTACTTCTTGCTCCAGCAATCTGTCCAAGACGCACGTAGCAGGCCTCAACTTCATCGGGATGCTCCCGTATGGCCTGCTCAACGATCCACTCGCAGGCGAGCTTAGCTTCCGCGTACCCAATGTTGTTCGCACAGTCCATACTCTCCATCGGTATCTCTGGGATGATCCGCTCTCCACTAACAGTGGCATACTCTCCGACAGTCGCGATCGATGATACAAAGAGCAACCGAGGCTTGATAGTTGGCCGGAATTGGTGTCCATCTTGAGCCAGTTGGAGAAGATTGTGAAGCGTCTGCAGATGAGACCGGAACGAAGACAGCTGCCACTTGAAGTCCATTCCCCACGCCGTGTGAATGATATGGGTTACCCCAGACCGAACCATCGCATATTCCGACAGTGGCAGGCCGAGGTAATCTGCAGCAAGGTTGGTTTCGTACGTCTGTACCTTTGACCACACCTCTTCATTCAAGTGGATGCGCTTGTCATCCAAAGAACGAGCCAGACGGGTAGAGCCTTCTCCATCCACACCGGCTCGTGGTCGGTTGAGGCAAATCACGCGGGCAACATTTGGTGACTTAACTAGTTCTGCTAGGCAGTGAGATCCCAAGCTTCCCGTGGACCCGGTGAGGACAACAATCGCTCCCGGATTTAGGAAGGAGGATGCGTGAAGTCCATGAGCTTGCACAAGTTGGGGCAGCAGCTCCCTCACGGCATCATGAGCGGAGCCTGACTGGCTTGGTCCGCTGGATTCGCGCAGAGCATTCGCCATTTGACCGACGGATGGATTCTTATAGATGAAGTCGCGACCAATGCGATCAGAGGGAGAGATACCGTGGATGACTGTCGAGGCGGCACACAGGAGGTATCTTCGTAGTCGCATAGCCTGCAAAGAATCCATGCCACGCTCGAACAAATCATCATCTCGGCTCAGATCAGTCAACGGGACACCCCAGTGGATTCGTGTCTGGATCAAGTCTATCAACCCTTGCTCCAAATTCTCGGGATCCAAGGATGTCACCGAAGAATCGATTGGGCGGGTTTCAAGGGTGTGGTAGACCTGAGCGATCTGTTCCTCGAAGAGCTTGTATACCTCCCTGCGGGCAATTGATCCCTTATCTGTTCGAGGAATGGCAGTCCCTGCAGGTACTACAATGATGGCATCTGGGGATGAAATCTTGGCATGATCATCCATCTTGTTTCCAGCCTGTACAACAACCGGCCAGACCGCTTCTCTCACAGTGCGCTCATCTGCAGAGGTACCTACAGGGGCCAAGGGCTCCAAGATGACTCCGATCTCAAATTGGCGATCACCGAAGGCAATGGCTGACTTCACCAGACCGCTCTCCACCAACCATGTCTCAAGGATCTGCGGCAGCACCTTCTCTCCGGTTGCGAGCACAATGAGATCATCAGTTCTTCCCGCAGAGTTGAAATCAGTGTCCGGGTGCTCGGGATTGCAGACGAGCTGATCCTGGATCTCGAACGGCTGATCCCAGCCAAATGGGTAGGTGGTAAGTCGGAAGCGTCGCTGACCCTCACAAGGCTCGATCTCTTTGATCGACATCCGCATATCACGCCTTAACCGGAAGAAATGCCAGTTATAGCTGGCAATGGGCACAAAGAATGGTGCCAACGGACCGCTTTCGGTTGTCCCGTAGTGGTTCAGCAGCTTCACCCCGGCGGCTACCAGCCGATCACCCACGCTGGGGGTCAGTAGACCCCCACCAAACGTAACGAAGTCCAGAGTGGCTAGAGTACGAATACCATCACCGGTTGGCGCTATCGTGATCTCTTCGAGGATCGATGGTACAGACATCAGGGAAGAGCCTTGGTTGCTCTTGATGAGGTTGATGACGCCATGCGCGTTAGGAACGGTACCAGGAGGTGGGAAGCAAACTGTCTTGCCAATTCCCATAGCGAGGGCAGGAGCCATCAAGCCATATCCATGATATAGAGGCAGGGTCGAGACGTTGACGCCCTGCGCTTCCTCCTCCGTCTTGAAGTCGTGGCATGTCGTGAAACATACCAGGTGCCGATGGGAGATATAGATAGGCTTAGGCAGCCCGGTCGTACCGGAGGAGTGAAGAATCAGGACATTCCGATCTTTCTCGCTGAAGAAATGGAAGGGATGACAGATTGAGTCACCAGGTGCTGCGGTGCCCAGGTATGTGCTATACGGCTCTGGCTTGTGCAATGCGATCGTCTTTCCATCTTCGTCTCTCATGAGAGCCACGGCTTGGGCTGCATTTAGCTGGTGCCGGGGCGCGGCCAGGACAGCGACCGCATTCGTCTTTTTCAGCAGGTGGTGAATTGCCGTGACGCTAAGACGGGCAGATAGCAGAAGCACCTATCACAGTTAGCATCAATATGTGCATTTGAGACCATGGATCTGCATTGTTGGACTTGGAATTGCTTAACATACTGGGACTCCAAGGCCGATAAGAGCCATTTGGTGAAAGAACAAGCCAACGTCGCTGTCCATCAACAGAGCGACCGGGGCGCCCTTTTGCACTTCTTGGTCCCCTCCTGCCGCAGCCGGGAGCTCAAGTGCGGAAACGTTGTCCTGCAGCCATTTTCCGCAACTGGCTATGGCATATCGCAGCTGCCGGTTCGAGATTCGAATAGACTCCGCACCTTTCAATGCCTGAATGCAGAAAAGATGATCAGGATTGGCCTGCGAGTTGAATTCGATGATTTCTGGCAGTGAGCGCATATAATCGGATTCCTTTCCCTCCGCTGGATATAGGTCAATGGGTGCTCGGCGAAAGGGAATCACATCTTGAGCGTGAATGGTGATGGACCCGTTGGTGCTCGTGGTAGTCCTCGTCATGGTTGAAGCGACAGTCATGGTTCTAGTTGTGGGATAAGGTCACTTTGGTTGCCTTTCTGTTCCGTCGTTGGTATTCTCGTTTCTGATTGCTCATGAACGGCAGTGACCGACATCTTTATACTTTCAAGTTGAATGCAGGAGATCGATCCATGTCAGCGGGGACCCGATAGCCAGGACCCGATAGCGTGGACCCGAGTTATTCTTAAACAGGTTGGGAGTAGAAGTACGACTAACTTTAGCCCCATAATCATGGTAGTCTATGATCTGTATAAGACTGTGGTGGTAGTCAGCACCCGTGGACCCTTTCGTGATGTCCGCGTCGGCTTCGGCATCGGGAGCAATTTCTGGAAAATATGTTGACCTCATGAGGTTACCCAGATATATAGGTGACCTCCTTCTCCTCCTTCAACTCTCGTTTACTTAAATGAGCAATTTGAGCAAATAAAATAGGCAGGTCACAGTTCTTCTCTATATGCAGCGTATATAGTATTTGTTTCGCTTCCGCTATTGAGGTACTAAACTGAGACTGTTTCGTCTTGATGGGACTCGAAGTTATATTCTTTGGATTATACATATTCATTTAAAACAATAATGATTCCTGCAATTAGTGATCTACATTAAGCAAGATCTAGTTCGGATATGGGGTTTAGATCTTAAAAGTGGGGTGGCCCTAATTTTATTCCTACTCCGACACCGATCCCGACTACTTTCACTAGCGTCTAGGTCGAGATCCCTTTCGTGTATCGCTTTAAGGAGTTAATGTTGTTGATGACTTTGCTGTGCAACGATAAACTCGTCTTCAATACGGAGTACATGAATAGGTAATCCCAACGTGCCTTTTTGGCATATACAATATGCAGGCCCAGCATTGGTCCAGGCAGTCAAACATCCGGATATGGAGTCGGAGTAGTCTATGGGCTTTGACCTTGAATGCGGATACATTGAATGCTTGCTTGTCCTGGTAAACACCGTCGGGGTCGATGTCGGTCCTGGGGCAAGCCGTAGTTAGATGTGAATAGCTTCATTAGAGGGTTCTATAAACCACGATATCCAAGAATGAAACTGAGGAGGATAGATCAACGAATCCAAGTTCAAACCAAAATGATCCACCAAGCAAGCAAAGCGCCTGAGGCTATAGTTGCTCCATATTCCAAAATGCAATTTTTCGATACATTTCTTCAATATACCCCTCTCATTTCGCGACAGGACCTTGACCTATCTCTTTTCCAAGCCTTCCTCTCCAAGGAGTCCGTTGAGGCTACATTTCAGCCTAGATTACTCGCGCCGGAGATTATTACAGCGGCCTGGTTCTTATTACTCGCTCGGTATGCACAGGCAGAGTCGTTGCATGTACAAACTCAAAGATTCAATCACCCGAAGGCAAAAGCCACCGTATCAAAGTTGACACTTGGGCCACATACTCGCCTCGAGGACGTGGTGAAAAAAACCAGCACACTGCCAGAGGCCGACTTGTGTGTAACAGAAAATAGTGTCCATGCCTTTCCGCTGGCGGAGCGCCATGGGGCCAAGTTGGATGATGGGTTTCGAACAGCCATCGTTGCAACAGCATATCATAAAAGTTCAAACGACTCGAAATTGTTGGCACAACTCTCCTCATGTCATATCATTGCGCGGTGTCATTTTGACAAACTGTTGCTTTGGGTTGACCCCAGACTGGGGGATCTCCAACTGCCTCGGCGATTGCTTTCCCAGTTAGAATTCATTGCAGCGCAGCTGGTACATCTATCTTCCAGCACACAAGTAATAGGCGATCTGGAATATTTCAGCCCAGAAGACCAGATGGACGCGAATACAAATGATCCACCTCTCAGACCGGCCATTTCGAAGCTTCTACATGAGGTGATCGCCTCATTTGCTATGTCCCGACCAAACGCACCTGCTATCTGCGCCTGGGACGCCGACCTAACTTACCAGGAGCTGGACAAACTCTCAACAAAGCTAGCCAGCCAACTTGTTCACGCTGGGGTTCGCCCAGGGGCTCTGGTTCCCCTTCTGTTCGAAAAGTCTGCCTACACACACGTGGCTCAGGTTGCAGTTATGAAGGCTGGCGGCGCCTTTACAACTCTCCCATATGATATGCCACTTGCTCGAATTAATTCCATTGTTTCCCAGCTAGCTCCCGAGGGAAGCTCAGGAAAGCCGGTTGTTGGGCTTTGCTCACCTTCTTTAGCCACCACGTTGGAACCACTGGTATCTCTTACTATTCCTGTGGATGAGACATCTATGAAGGGCATCTTCGAAGCCTCGATAATGGAACCACCCGGTGTTCAGCCCCATGATCCAGCCTATGTCATTTTCACCTCGGGGACTACTGGAGTTCCGAAGGGAGTGGTTGTGGAACATCGCAATATCTGCAGCTCTTCTCATTACTTTGGTGAAGAACAGATGTCACTGGATCGTCCGGGAGTCCGCCAATCCCAATTCCTATCATACGCATTTGACGGCTCCATGCATGAAATATTCTACACATTGGCTAATGGAGGCTGCCTTTGTGTTCTATCCGAAGATGAGCGCATGAACGATATTTCTGGGGCTATGACACGCATGGGGGTGACTCATGCAAAGTTTACGCCATCTATCGTGGATCAACTCTCACCTGAGGACTTTCCAACTGTCCAGAAACTGTTTCTGGGTGGGGAACCACTGACTACAGCTTGCGTGGACCGATGGCAGCCACGGGTTGAAGTCTGGAACAACTATGGCCCTGCAGAATGCACCGTGCAGTCCACTGTTATTAGCTGCAACAATTCCAAATGGGCCACTGGAGTAATTGGCCACGCCGGAGCCAGTCGATGTTTTGTGGTAGACCCAAGGAACCCCCAACGTCGGCTCCCTCGTGGATGTATTGGAGAAATAATCGTTGAAGGACCAAACGTGAGCCGCGGCTACCTGCACAAGCCGGCCCAGGCAAGCAGCGCTTTTATCCAAGGCCTCTCCTGGGCTCCATCAGGACGCTTCTACCGCACGGGCGACCTGGGATACATGGATGCTTATGGACTGTTGACCTGCAAAGGGCGCAGCGATGACCAAGTCAAGATTAATGGACAGCGCATTGAATTGGGTGAGGTTGAGACCCAGCTCCAGTTGGTGCTACCTGGGGCTTCTCGTGGTGTGGTAGACGCGATCAACCCGTCCGGGAGGGGCAATGTTCTAGTGGCGCTTGTTCAAGTGGACGAGTGTCTGCCCGAGCGTATGGACTTTGATCGGTTAGAAGGCGAGATTAGAGAAGGCCTAGCCCAAGTGCTCCCACCAGCATTTGTCCCCTCACGCATAGTGCAAGTGGGAGAAATCCCACTCGGAGCCACTGGGAAGACAGACCGGAAGGCTCTGCGCAAAATCGCCAACGATATCATTTCTGGGCTGCTCGTGCAACAGAAATACGGTAATGTTGCCAAAAATGAAAACACTACCCCGAAAGTGTTGGAGGAGAGAGAGAGCATTCTTCGGGAGATGTGGGCGGAGACTCTACACCTGTCTGTTGAGATAATGCAGTCTCAGTCGAATTTCTTCCATTTGGGTGGTAACTCCCTGCTGGCCATGCGCTTGGCTGCCATCGCTTGCAAGCAGTCCTGGAATCTCAGTGTGAGGGATATTTTCGCTTATCCTCTCCTTGGTGAGATGGTGAAAGCCGTCTCATCTCTTAACTCCACGAGTATGAGTTGGGCTGTCGGATACTCTTCATTCAAGATTCCCTCCGAACTCAAACCAAAGATCACGAAGGACTGGAATATTGAAGAATGCATTGTGCAAGATATATATCCAGCTACTGCCATTCAGGAGACCTTCCTTGCTCTTTCCACGGCAAACCAGGGAGCGTATATCATGCAGTATACATTCACCATCCCCGATGGAGTCGATGTTCAATGTTTACAGAGATCTTGGAGGTGTGTCATGGAGGCACATCCAATTCTACGGACTCGATTTTACAATACTGCAGTTGGCCTTTTCCAGGTAGTGTTGGTGGAAGACTTTCACTGGGAAGAGCGATGTGAGCCAGACTCGACCAAGCTGCGCAAACAGATAAAGTCGACCCTTTTACTCCCATGCCAGCCACTCAGCCAATTTCACCTTCTTACGGACAATGAGAGCGGCTCCCGAACCTTGATCTGGACTGTCAGTCATTCCTTGACTGATGGATGGACAAGCTCCCGCCTGTTTGGCGAAGTGCATTCAGTCTATGGCCGCGGTATTGCTGTACCTCCTACCACCCCTTACTCTGCCTTTGTCCAGGAGTCTATGCGGGCACCGGAAGCCATGGAAGTATTTTGGAAGAACCAGCTTGACCATGGCCCTGTTATGGAATATCCCATCTTGCCTTACGCCGATTTCCGACCCGAGACCAATTCACGGCAAGCAGGTCAACTTCCAATTGCCCACCTGTCCAACGCCTCTCGACACACCGTGCCTCTGATGGTACGTGCCGCCTGGGCAATTACTCTCAGTAACGCAACCCAACAAGAGGATGTTCTATTTGGTGTCAACCTGAGTGGTCGCCACGAATTCCCAGATGTGGTGGGTCCAACAGTCACAACTGTTCCACTGCGGACCACAGTGCGTGGGTCGCTTTTGATCAGGGAGTTTCTGGACCAGCTGCGAGATCAGTCGGTACGCATGATGCCATTTGAGCAGACTAGTATGCAACGTATTGCTGCCATCGACAACAGACATCTTCAGTCCTACTGCAAGTTCCAAAATTCGTTGGTTGTCCAACTGCCCCGGGAGCAGGTGATTGGTGATATATCCTTGGACTGGATGCATCCTACCCGCCTTGATACAGTTTCAGCTCAAGGTCTTGTTGTCAACTGCCTGGTTGAGCCATCTGCAGTAAATGTATGGATGAACTATGACAATCGTGTCCTGGGAAAGGAAGCCATGCAGGCTCTTATGAACCGTTTTCTGGCAATTCTTTCGCGGGTTCTCGCCATGGAAAGAAATCAAACCATCGCTCAGGTCCGCACTGAGACACAAGACTTGTATCAGACGATCTCAGTTCCTAAAGGCTCTAGAGAAATCGGATATCTTGGTCAAGCCATCGATGCAAGCCGTGTTGAAGGCCAAATGGCGGCAATTACTGGCATGCCTCAGCACGACCGCCTTGTTGAACTAGTTCGACCGCATGAAAGATCAAACCATCATTTCCTCGCTGGATTCATTTCCACGGATGAAATCGAGCAGTTTACGCACCACATCTCAGATTTGCAGTTACAAATGGGTCAACATCTTCCTAACCACATGATACCCAGCCTTTATGTCCCTATGCCTACAGATAAAAGTCCGTCTATGGCTAGAGAGAATCTGGAGAAAATTGCCTGGGATTATGGGTTAAAGTCTGTTACTACTCTCTCATCCACTCCTCTCCCTACTGGTCTCTCGCCTGTGGAGGAAATCTTAATGAAGTGCTGGGCGGATGTCCTCGGTCGGGCAGATATCACAGTCCACGACAGCTTTCTCTTGCTTGGCGGTGACTCGATCAAAGTGATGCGGCTTGTCTCTGCTGCACGAGCTGCGAATCTGCGACTGTCTGCCGCTTTTGCCCTCCAGAACCCCATTTTCCGTCGAATGGCTGCAGGTGCAGAGGTAGTCGAGTGTCAGGCGCTTCAAGGGGTTCAGGCGTGGTCACTGGTGGGAGGCAAGAAAACAATGATAGGTATCCGTGATGAGATCGAGCACCAAACTGGCCATAGCATGGATGGTTTGGAAGACATTTTCCCAGTCACTGAGTATCAGAAGTCGACTTTCTTGAAATCTTTGCGAACCCCAGGGACTTGTGTGCTGCAATCTCGATATCGACTCGATAGCGAGGTTCAGTTCTCCAGAATGCAGATAGCGTGGAGAGAAGTCTGTCTGCAATTCCCGTGTTTGCGGACACGACTAGTACGCCCAAATGGTTGGGACGTTCTGCAAGCTGTGGTTTCGGAAATGACAGAGCTCCAAATGATGCACTTTGCAACCATGAATGACCTTCGCGACCATATGCAGAAGACTTTGCTGGATATGACGCGCCTCGGCGCTTCATTGAACGGAGGAGTCTTTGCCGTTGTGGGCGAAGGAGAAGACCAAGAGCGGCACCTGATCTGGTCCATTCACCATGCCATTTTTGATGGATGTACCTTGCGAAAGGTTCGCAAGGCCCTGGTAGATAGATACCAAGGCGTGATTTCTCAGAAGTCTGCTCCGCTGCAAGACTACGTCGGCTTTCTCCAGAGCCAGGATCCAACCGCATCGGCACGGTACTGGACCCGGTATCTCAAGGGGGCTAGTACAAGCGTGTTCCCCCACTATCCGACTCCAGAATATGTGGTTCGCCCTCATGCAACACATCGGTTAGTTCTTGGGCTCAAGCGATCGGGTCGCCAGCCAATTACTCTGGCGACAGTGATCCACGCTGCATGGGGAATGGTCCTCGTCTCGCTCACCCGCACTCGCGACGCCACATACCAACATCTCGTAAGTGGGCGCACCGCTGCAGTCGACAAAATTGATCACTTCGCTGGGCCGACGATCAATTTGGTTCCTATGCGTATCAAGGTGCAGGAGCGGCTGCGCTCGACAGTGGGAGGGTTCTTGGCAGAGATTCAGGCTCAGTCAACAGAAAGAATGCCTTTTGAAGGGATTGGAATGGAGAAAATCATGTCGTTAATGCCTGAGAAGGCACGGCTCTTTGATTTCCACCATATTCTAGTCATCCACAGCGGTTGTGGAGGGGAACTGAATTCGGAGGAGCAGAGCGGTCTAATCCACAAAACAGAAGAGACCATGAACCTGGATGGGTATCTCGGACTCGTTGTGCAATGTACCATGAACCAGGTTGGAGTTACAGTGGACCTGCGATGGGATGAGACACTTCTCCCGCACTCTGTGATCAGTATTCTTTGTGCGCGTATGAGTTTTCTAATACGCGCAATGGTTGAGGGCGATCAATCTGTCACGGTGGCAGACCTCCGTCGACAATGCAATGCATTGTGAAGGCGTTTCATGACTGCATTGTGGTGTACCCAGGAGATGCGGCTGAATCTTTTTGTATTCTTGCTGATTAAATGATACCATTGTCGAACGTAATATCTTCATCCCCGAGGTCCGTAAGCTCGCTGAAGTAAGCATCGCTTGGGATTTCTAGCCCAAGATCCTCCATCCGGAAATCCAGAGGATCGGCCATCTGCATCCAGCTGCTGGGATCTAACAACTGGGTGTAGTCGGCGTCGCAAGGACCCGTCGAGAATACTTGCCAGTCAATATCTAGCCCAATAGCCGAGTCAGCATCCGTCGCCGGTGATGTTGTAGAAACAGTCCTAGCGGTTGAAATTGTCCTTGCTGGTGATTCAAGAACTTGATCCATGATTTTACGAAGAGTATGCGCCACTCGACGGCAGGGGGCATGATTTCCTTCAGTTGTTGGAATACTGTTCAAACAGCTGATAAAAACACTGAGTTCTTGAATAATCTCCGACCGGGGGTGGATCTCCGTCACATTGGCTATGAGGGCAAGACACTGGGGTCGGAGCAACAATTCTATAGCAAGAATGGCAGCAGCGGGTGTACCATAGGACATGACAGCCCAGGGAAAAAAGAGGAACATCTCTCCAAGGCGGTCCCGATGGGTGTAGATCATGGTCATCACATTGATAATCGCCTTGGCGGAGGACAACAGTGGTTTGTTCTGGCTCAATGGTACGACCTGTGACAGTCGGTACAACAGGAAGATGCTTTTGTGATATTCTAAGTGCAGAAATATGATATTGAGAAAGTCGAATGGTGCTAGGTGAGCATGGTGGCTTGGATCGTACCGCAGCCGGGAAGGTAATCCCTTGTAAGTTGCTTGTAAGCGTCGTACAATATCCCTAACTCTATATTTAGCATTTCACCCAGGGCCCTTCGGATATAATCACGACATACGATTGCATATTGTTCAAGATCTCGGCGCTGGGACCCATTGTGAGCTCCAATATCTCTTCTCGGTGACGCCCAAGCATGGATAGTGCCCGTAGATAGCTGGTTGGGTAAGACCTTTCCCCAGTATTCCAACCATCAGAATCCAGTACACTGATGGCAAGGTCTAGGTCATTCCCCGTGAATGTAAGTTGTTCATCACTCAAATCCAGTGGTAGTGGACATTGATTGAATCGCCAAGTCAGCTGAGGAGGGCGCCCACTAGAAGTGGCAATTGATTTGTCCATAGTAAAAGCTCGATGGAAAGCTTTTTGCTCCAACTGCGTTTGAATAAAGCACCAGTTAGCTGATCTGAGAGAAAGGCACAGATTGTTTGCAAGGCGCGCGAGATTGGTGACGTTTGCATAATTATGGTTTGCTGTACACTTCTTCATTAGCAAAATCATCGATATACACGCAAAGTGATCTCTGGGAGAGAAAATAATAAAAGCTCCAGATACGGAAGATACATACAATCGTCGCCATCATAGGAATTTTGAAGTAGAGTCATGCTTGCATGAGCGTTGACAGCATTAAGACTGAAGATCCCCTGCGCTTCACAGATGAAAAGGCACGCTTTGATCCCCTTCCCCAGGTCCCTACAAACCTGGCCCTTGTGGCAGTCGGCCAGTAAGGGATGAGAAGGTAGCAGACTGGCGCACGCTGAGCCATATGCGGAGAGTAAATATGCCAGTGAATCCCACGTTGTGTTGTGCCCTGTCCATGACTGTAGCCATTCGACCGAGCCCGACAGAAAACTATCAATTTTCCGGTTTGATGTATTAATCCAGAGCCGCTCGATAAGTCGCTCTGACCTATTCAGAGCGGCAGAAGTCTCGTCGAAGTAGCCTTCGAAGATTTCCCACCAGCCTTCGTGCAACAGTCGTAAAAAGGGCTCGTGACACCCGAAGTCAGGAAATTTTAGGGCATGATCAAGGAGTCCTTCGCACATAGTCCGTGATGGAATCTGCGCCAACGCCGTCGTTGCATGTTGCAATATTTCCGGCTCCTTCCACGGCAACGCCATGCCGGGCATGAGGCTAGCAGCCGACAGCTCTGGCTCAACTTCAATATTAAAATCACTAAATATTGATCCCCAATTTGTCATTTTACTGAGGCCGTCTGGTCGGCTGCTAGACGGACGTCCAAGCCCCATCCCTCGGGCGTGGTCTCGAGCAGTGTCGACTTCTGCGAGAGGAGAAGGTGACAGTAGAGAATACGCAGCTGATATCGCAGTTGGCGAAGGTCGATTCTGCTCTTTTGTTGGCCTTTTTGAGACGGCAGCAGATTTTGCGTTACTTGGAGAGGATGATTTGGCGAGAGGCGAGATGAGGTAGACACAAGTTTCCGTCCGCTTAAGTCGCACACAGCGCCCACAATGAGGGACTGCATGGTCACAGGCAAGCTTAGATTTTCGACAGTTCTCGCAAGATGATTGCTGTCCATTTTTGCGCCGGAACTGCGATACGGGTAACGCTTGCTGGGTATGTTGCATAATGATACACAAATGAAGACACCCAGTATGATGAAAAATGCTAGGTATGGAGAGAATTCATTGTATGCCGATGAAGTAGAAAGACAAGGATGAGGATGGACTCCTTCGTTATCTAAAAAATAAAGATAGTCTTAGCTAATCTCTTATAGCTTTCCCTCCACTTCCTCACACTTCCTCTTCCTGGTGTCGTTCAATGGGTTGATATTCCACGTGATATCCCACCGGGAAGGAGCTGCCGGATCCCACATGGAGGCGAAATCACGATGCTTTTAAGATGCTTGTTGTGCTTGAGTAGCTACTAACCGGCCCTTACATTTTTTTTACAAAAATTACAGACCCTCCTAACGGAGGGTCCGCCACCCAAATGAAAGGGATCACCCAAACGACAGATTTCTTTTTAATCCCACCTTTTTACTTTACTCCT